GATGCTTATCTAATCATACGTTACTATTGCAGAAATGTTAATTGAAGAGCAACAATGGCAGTCGACTTTCCCTTAATTGAAATAGAAGCAACCTTAATTAATATAGTTTCGTTCCCAAGTACGCTTTTAACTTTATGAGAAAAACATTGTGGGTGTATTTTCTTTTTCTAGCGATGTTTTCTCTCGCTTAAACAAATACGTTTGTTAGTTGTTAACTTTAATAGACTTTTCGGGTTCGACACCCGCCTGTGACATAGATTCTGTTATTTTTATCATATTCAATGGATTTAAAAAAAAAAGAATAGTTAAATACTGTAGTTTACGCGAGTTTTAAATGCACATTTAAAAACACTTTACGGTTTAAAACTATATATTAGTTGAAATTGGAAAGTTGTTAAAAATTTTCGATTCCGGCAGGACTTACTACTTGCTAACACTTGCGTGTTAAGGTCGACATCATTGCGTAAGAGATGCATTTATCAATAGGTTGACAAAATTCGACGATGACGTGTAGGAGTTGTAGCAATTGGTTAGAGCAACGGCACGGAACGCCGGAAGGACGCCGGTTCTTGAACTGTCGAGTCGTAATATTGTTCAGTTTATAATTGATTTTTAGCTTATATAGTGCTATGTGCAATAAGATGTAAGAAATAATTTTATTTTCAAACATATTCAACGTTCAAAGCTATCTGGCACGTACATTTACTAGATTGATTATTTCACAATAGTTAAAAACTACTGCAATTTTCAATAACTCTAAACTATAATTACCTACCAAATACATTAAAATTGCTTTAATTTCAATTATAAACATAACAAGATTTTCCCAGTCAAGACGCTTTAATCTCTTACGTCAAACGCGTCAGTAACAATGACTTATCAAAGACGCTTAAAACTTTGTCGAAGCCATACAATAGCAAGTTGAAAGAGGTCATCGAACAGTAAAGGGCCGCAACACATAATATTATTAAAGTGTATCTGCTTATACAGGGTAACAAGTTATATGTTAAAAAAAAAAAAAAAGGGGAAGGGGGGGGGAAAAAAAAAAAAAAAAAAAAAAAAAAAAAAAAAAAAAAAAAAAAATTTTAAAAATCAAAAATTTTTTGGGAAAACCCCCCCCCCCCCCCCCCCCCCCCCCCCAAAACCCCAAACCACCCCCCCCCCCCCCGCCGGGGGGGGGGGGGGGGGGGGAAAAAAAAAAAAGGGGGGGGGAAAAAAAAAAAAAAAAAAAAAAAACAAAAAAAAAAAAAAAAAAAAAAAAAAAAAAAAAAAAAAAAGGAAAAGGGAAGAGAAAAAAAAAAAAAACCCACCCCAAAAAAAAATAAAAGGGGAGAAAAAAAAAAAAAAAAAAAAAAAAAAAAAAAAAAAAAAAAACCCCCCCGGGGGGGGCTTGAACCCCCCCCGGTTAAAGTGCAAAAACATGAAAAAAAATAAGTTTTGAAGGAACTATTTAAATACTTCTCCTCGTGACCACGGCTGCTGCAAAGCATCCGAAACGTGGGCCGAAGTTAAAAACAATTTTCAAATAATTTTAACTAATATATCGCGTTTTATAACGTTACAGTAGTTTTATTTAAATGTATACTACTTACTCGCTTAAACTGTATACAGTATTTGAAGGAACTACCTGCAAAGTATACATAATTTATTGTTAGTGATTTAATCTTTTATTTGCAAAAATGAAATAAATTTTACTTACACGTAAGCACAGGTAAATGTGTATTCGAATAGGTTTCTATGAATTGATAATTATAATCGGTTGCAAGTACTCCTCTAAAACAATTCTAACAATACAATAATATCTACACATACAATTGCTTTCGACCTTATTTGTTAACTTACAGCCTTATTCATCCTCATAACTAAATAGATAGATAATTATAAGATGGCGCAATATTGAGGCATATTTTTGTTGATTTTGTGTTAAATAATATTTTTAACTGCGCTAAAATATAGTTATAGGTAGCTACGTATTTTAAACTAACTGTGTCAGCGACTGTCGTCCTCGTAGAATGGTTGTTTTGGCCATCGAAATTTGTTGTAAATCTCCTCTTCATCTTTATAAATTTAAACTGCGATGCGACATCGAGCGGGGCCTCTTTTGCCGCCGCCCCCCCGTTTGGGTCCCGCCGTTTTTGCAAAATAATCTTCAAAAACAGACATATATAGTCGGGGCATTTTTTTAGGACATTTAAAAGGAATCAATTAATCCTAAAAATTTTTTGAGTATCTCAAACCATTTTCACTGAGTACGCAACGGAAACCTACAAATTTGAATCAATTTCCTCGTTTTTTTTTTCAAATATACAGCTGCCTCTTTGCTCCTATTACTCTGCAACTTAATATATTATTAGTACAGATGTAATTCTTATCGAGTATACCTCTATTTTTATTTACCTTTTGCATTTATGTAGGTGTAGTATAGATTAACATCCGCTGACCATACGACAAACAAAATCGAATCTACGCTTCCTCGTACTTTCAATAATGTCAAGAGCTAAATTGTTAGAATGACTTCCGAAGTATTCCCAGCCCCTATCTGCGGGTGTTATATAAGTGTAGATAAATAAAGTCTAAGCCCCGGTTACAACTTGGGAGTCTGGTCAAACGGCGTCTAAACAAACATTGAAGGAAATTGATTAGAAATCTGTAAAGAATCTTTGAGCACGTAATTAGAAGTGGTTATCTGTTGAGTGCAAATGTTTCTTTGCTAGTTTTAGCTAAATTTTATTACAATATTAAAGCTATATGTAGGGTGTTTTCGGAGATATGTTTGCTATAGAATAGGGGTAACGCGCTTTTATATAATTGAAAACTTTGTTTTTTTCACGTGTCAGCATATTTCTTTATAGTTATTTATTAGTTTATAGTAAATTTTAGCATACATAAGGACGGACAGACAGAAGCTTTTATTCATAGTTTAACTAAACAATGTTTTATGAGGTTTAAAGTTAAAATATTAAACAGGTGCGAATCCAATTTCATACCGCAATTAGTGCAACTAGGTTTGTTAATTGCAATGTAAGCCTAATAATAGGTATTGGGACGTGGGTTCAATCCCCACCATGTCCATCGTCTTCTTAAAATAGTAGTAGGAATATCGAAATTCCGACCCGGTGACCACCGTCCACAGATGAAAAACCCGTGAAGTTTAATCTCGTTTCGAATTCAGTTCATCGATTTCCAAATATTTAAATGCAAATTAGGTCGACTGCGAGGCTGTTGAGATATGACCACTGTATTTCACCTTCCATCAAGTGATCGAGATGATTTTCTGTCACGTAAAATGTTGGTGACGAGGCTTCTAAACGCCCGGTAACCAGTATTTTTATTTGTACCTATTCGTTTAAAAGATAACCCAATAACGATAATTCGAAACAAACGTTTTATTGTCTAACATACATTTAATCCCGGACACAATGTATCCGCCAATAAGCCGAGAACTGTCATACAATTTCGATAATTGCTAATTGAATTACAATCGAATGTTCCAGTTGATTGAGGTTTGAAGTTATACTCGGTTCCTTTGTTTGCGTGTGAATTGTTTTTATTTAACCACAATATTTAAATTTGACAATCTGTATCAAGTAAATATTCGTTAATAAACTCACATAGTTTATACACATACACAAAAGCATTCAATGCTTTAAAAACGCCAATTACATCGAACCTCGAACCGTATTTTAATTTGATAAGAATACAACCACATTACTTTAAATATTAAACTAATATTATTCTATAAAAAACTGATATACGTCGTATGCCGTAGTTTAGGCCGTGTTCCGTTAAGCACGAGGTTTGTGTTCGAATTCCGGGGAAAAATAAATTGTTTCGATCTTGCCCCCTGCACGGAAGTGTAACCAACTATAATAAAGCACTTTTAACTTTTATTCAACTACAGTCCGACAACATGCTTTGCAATAGTCGTGGTCACGGCGGTACTGTAATTATAATAAGTTAATCAATATATTTTAGGTTTCAAACAATTAAACGTGTTTAAACAAAGCAATTGTGTACTACTCGCGTAAACTACAGAGATTGCTTAACTAACTACTTGACTGTTAATAAAATCGAATTTAAAGAGACGAAGCAATGAGTTCGCCCCATGCCTCACAAGGGGAAATTACTCTTCATAGAATTATAAGTCAAGAGTTGAATTTATAAACACTGGTCTTCCGTAATGATTCATTGGTTAACACAGTTTATCATCCTACAGGATTTCAATGATGTTGCGGTCGGTTTTTCCTACAGGATTCCCAGATAAAGATTCCAGATAGTATTCAGCTTTGCTATGACTCTATGGACAAATACGATGATAATTAAGTGAACTATGCGATAAGTTAACAAAATATACAATGATATTATAATTTATTATTTTTTCTGTGGTAGAGGAGGACAGATAATTACGGGGTTGATGGTAGGGAAGATACCCCAGCCATATAACATCTAAACAAGTTGCACTGTCGACCTAACAAGACAAAATACAGACAAAAAGACAAGACGACAAAACACGATTAAACTTGACGGCGTGTCCATCTGTGGATGGTATTCGGTGACCCGGACGGAATCTCACGGTGGGGATCAAACCATTGCTACCATTACACCAACGGCTTTGTAATAAACATATTTAACAACATATATGGATGGTATCTACAAGAATTGATGCCATCCTCTTTTACTTCATTTCAACATTAATAAAATGACAAAAGAAACTGTCAATTAAAGTCTGATTTTATCGATTCAATATAAATAAGTCAAGTAAAATGAAACATTAAACATTTAACTTGTAAAATGGTCTGGAGCTTCTGTTTCTGTTGGAATTATGAGGGTAGGATATAGCAAAATGAAAGTATTAAATTCAGATCTACCCACATTTATTACATGTGTTCCAAAGCTTGATCGAGATTTTTAGTCGCGTGGACCCCGCTCGTCTGGGACAGTAGTGTTGACTCAATTCTCTAATGCTTGAGGCATATATTGTTTGAATTAATATTTTTATAATGTTTCGTCTGCATTATAGTACGCGGCCTTTTGGTAAGTTTGTTGAAGGTATTGTAATTGTTTTGCACGTCCATTTTTAATGAACAAGGTTATTCAAAAATAATTTGGTAACTGTGTAACGGTTTTCTTTCAAATTTTACAAGCCTTATTCAGATTAATTTCGATTTCACCTACTTAAGAATATCTTTGGTTATATGTTATTCGTAAGCAACGATATGCATTGAATATATGTCGTGTTATTAAAGTTCTTTGTTAATTTATATAGATGTGTATAGTTTTATTTAAGAGTTGTTATTTAAGAGATCGTGTCTTGAAAGATAAATATTTTAATTTAATGACGTAACCTAATATATGTTTGTGCCCTTCCCAAAAACGGATTTACCACGTTTAACTTCCTAACACGATGGAGGTAGGGTAATCTTCTTTGTCTCAATAGTTACGCCATGTCTGTATTGTTTCAGGCCTGCAGCTGCGGAGTATAGAGGAGCCGCCAGGTGGCGCGGGCGTGCCGACGCCCGCGCCCACCTGTTACGACGCGGAATGTGCTCGTACAGAAGCCTGGCTGGATGAAAACCAGGAGTTCGTCCATGATTACTTTTTAAGGTATGTTTATGTTATATTTGACGGGCTGGTTGGTGTAATGGTAGCAATGTATTGCTAATAATCGTGGATTCGATCCCCGGTTATTTTATTTTTTTAAATGTTGGACTTTGATTATCTGGATATTGAATAGGTAGGCCACAGGTGAAAAATCCGTCAAGTTTAATGCCGTTTCTGTTTCAATCTGTGGATTGACAAATTTGCAATTGTTTGTGTCGTATTTTTTATCAAACTAAATAGATTTTTGTTTTAACTCATTTTTATATCAATGAAAAAGTTTACGGCTGTCACATACTTTATAACACCGGTAGAAGTATATAGGTATATATTAAAGGGCCAATAATTTACAGGTAGAAAAGGACCAACAAAATAATACATAACTGATTTTAATACTTTTATGTAAATACTTTGGGGCGTACCTCATCACCGTGTTGCATTTATAATTAAGTTTGATCAAGTTTCCAAAACTACATCTACCTACACTTAAAGACGGCAAGTTCGTTAACGAACGACAAAGTTCATTAACTTCAGGTGAGATTTAAGTAAAAACAAACTTTTCTTCTCATATTCCTTAGCTCAAAGTTTGTTTTCGAAGCAAGTCTTTTAAATAAAACACTTTAACGGTTTAAAACGCTATATATTTTAGTTAAACTTGTTTGAAAATTTTATTTTTGACTACGCCCCGACGTTTATTTAAATTTATAATATAAAAATAAATAATAAAATTTTGGTTTTCACATCTTAAATTATAATTGAAAAATTACAATCAGAAGATAGTAACTAATAATACTAATATTTTGACTTTTGTGAAACTCAAACAAAGACGATTTTAAAGCTAGTGTTTACTATCGACTTTAAACTTTTATTAAAAAAAATATATACACTATTCACTTTATTTAAATGTGTACTACCCGCGTAAACTACAGACGACAGTTTTAATGTTTGAAACGGAATAATACTAGGTTAGCTTTGTTTTTTATTTACCTGCGGCCCGATGTTTCGTCCTTCTGCACCAGGGCAGTTGTTTTAAACCCTTGTAATGTGTTTTTTAAATAATTATAACAAAGCGTCCATGTCATTTGTCTACAATCTGTTCAATTATAGTTAACAAGTTTCCGTGAAATTGCCACCTACTCTGGAAGTACGTGAGCTCTTTAAAGGAAACTTTGCATCGAATCGAGTTTACAACTCTGTCTCTCGTTAATATGTTGCTCTGGTAATGCGAAGCTGAAGCTTTCTTGGCTTGTTCTTAGTGTAAAGCTATTTAAGTAAGTTAAAGGTATGCGTCGATTAGTCAGTTTAGTCCAGTGGTAACTAATATAGACTTTTTTTGTTTGGTCGAAAGTCGGCTGTTGGCCGTGGGTTTGTGATCGTATGTTGACAATTTTTTTACGAAACTACACTTATAGAAATATTTTTTAATCCTAACAGCATGCTTTCGTAGTGTTTGTAGTTCTAGCGAGTAGTATACATTTAAATGAAGCTCTTATAACTTTTTCAAATGCAAATTAATATTAGTTCATTTATTCAGTCCTCCCGTGACCAAGGTCGCCGCTAAGCATCCGAAACGTCTCGGGCGTAACGTTAGTTAAAATAAAGCTATTATTAATAAAACTACTTACAAATTCGCGTTTTAAAACGTTATTTATTTTATTAAATGATTATTTTATTGTACTCATCCAGGGAAAATTGACGTTTTGTGGACACAAAGGCCGCCTATTGGTTGTGGGTCGAGAAAGCTTACAATTTTTTTTTTAATTTTTCAAAAGTACCTCTTAAACTTAGAGAAGTAATTCTAAATCCTAACAGGACGATTTCATTGTAATAGACAAAGAATGAAATAAGGAAGTTGGATGAATTAACTTTACAGGCGATCAAAACGCCAATCTCATAAAGTGTCCAATAAAGTGGCGGAGAACACTGCTTACGGCCAGAATAATATAGAATAAGTCAGTTTTCATAGCGGCGTTTTATCGCTTTTAGATTGTTGCTTAACTTCCTAAGCAATAAGGAACTTTTGGGTACTTCGACGTCAGTGTTACTTTTGCCCTGAGAAATTTCAATTTTGATTCTTTAATTATCCTATGCTTGTTATTATAACTACATAGTATAAACAAAGTCGCCTTTTCTTTCCCTGTGTACGCTTATATCTTTAAAACTACGCAATGGATTTCGATGCGGTTTTTGTTAATAGAGTGATTCAAGAGGAAGTTTTTAATATTCTATATTAAAAAAAATTCACAGTATTTCTGTAGTGCTTTTAGTATCCAGTATTGCAGCCGAGCGAAGCCAGAGCGGGTAGCTAGTTCAAATATATTTGAAACTTTTTGAAAAGAAAAGAGATGAACGTTTGTTTGTTGTACGTTATAGATTAGAAATAAACTGCTAAAGTAGTAAAAAAACATACAATAAATATTAATTAATTTTGTGAGTGTTGTAAAAATTATAAGTTAAAATGTTTCTAAGATTTGAGCTGCGCTACTTCAGATTGTATATATAATCTAAATGTAATGCTGTCTATAGTTTACGCGAGTAGTACACATTTAGATAAAACATTTTAACGGTTTAAAACGCGATATATTAGTTAAACTTATTTGAACATTTCGGCTCCTGGTTTAACTAATAAAACCGTTAAAATGTTTTATTTAAATATTTTAAATTTGTTTTTATTTAATATTGAAATTTAAATCAAAATAAAAACTTCTTATTCAACACGCATATTTAATTCTAATTCACATATTCTCAAGATTAAATGTGCTCACGCGCATATTTTATTACAATCCCGGTTTTAGGGGAACCCATTCTTTTCTTTTTATTATTTTAATAAAGTGTACATTATTTTAATCTTACTATTTAAATAGTCTTTACTACCGTACAAAAAGGCCATTCGACATTGCTCCGTCATAAAATATATAGCACTTAAAAAAAAACTATTCAGCAAATTAAAATTGTATATCATTAATGGTCTTAGAAGCTTATGTATTATGAACGTTGTAATTATTTCTTTTCAGAAAAGCACCGCGTCAGGTCGTTGACGCTTGGTTAGTGTCTCACGCCACCCCGCCAAGTGCCGAACTGCCGTCCCCTTCGAGGGCCGGGTCTGGCGCCACTACGCCAGTCAGGTAAGGTGAATTTATATACGGTTAAATTCCATATATAAATGTAACAATAACGACAAAACGAAAACTATCTTTTAAATTTAGAATTCCGTTTATATGAGATCTGGTATTCTATTCTCGGTTGTTCTCAGAGGAAGAAGAATCGTGTTGGAGCTATTTTATTTTAAACTTAAGTTTAAATTAGTTTGTTTGTCGTTAGTTTAAAATAATATAATGTTTAATGTTCTCGAAAAATGGAAAATTTAAAATCTTATATAAATTTCTCGTATAATAGTAATTCCATTTACTAATAAGTACATAAAGAAATACATCACTGCAATCTACATAAAAAACATGTAATATCATAATGAAATTTTGACTAACATCATTCATTCAAAGTAGATTCATTCCTCCATACGTATTTTTTGGGTACCTTGAATTTTTTTCCACATTTACCACTATTTTTTCAAACCTATTAATATCAGCGCAATGGTTTATACCCTACCTACCTACCTCGATAAATGCTTTAATCAACACAAAAGGATTGTTTAATTCGAACCATTAGTTTCTGAGGTAAGCGCGTTCAAATACACAAACTTTTCTGATTTTTAATATTAGTATAGATTAAAGTACAATTTCTGCATACACATTTCGCATGTAAAAGTGCCATTTGTGACTTGGCTCTGTGCCACTGACGCCCTCTGTTGGTGGCGATTTATGATTATTACACAATCGACATCTCTATCGGATAGTGGTTCCAGATGTTACCAAAACAAATGGCCGTAGACACTTACGATGTCGTTAAATCTACGTTCGGTAATTGAACATCATTACCTGTTTGTGATGTTACTAGGGGAAATGCTTTTATTTCATATTACACGTAAGTAATTGTTAACTTAACTAAGCTTTGCTTGATAATTCAGATTATACCATATTTATTATATCCCCAAAAAGAGTACTTTTTGGTCCTTTTAAACTTTGATACGTTGAAATAACGTTTTTGCATTTTATTTAAATTATTAAATGTAAAATAAGATTGCATTTAAACAAACTTTTTACATTCGCTTGAAACGAAACGCAAACTTGTGCTCGGTCGTGCACTTGACACTAATGTTAAAAAGTTAAAGCGTAGCTTTTCGTGTAATTGTTTAAATATAAAATTGTTAGAGAACGCTGACCTTTTGTGAATGCCTTATAGTTTTATTGAATAGTTTTTACTTCTTAATACTAGATAACGCTTTTGGAATTAATGAATTGTTTTAGATACTGTCTATAGTTTACGCGAGTAGTAGACATTTAAATAAAATACTTTAACGGTTTAACGCAAAATTAACTAACTAGTTAACTAATCTATCGCGTTTTAAACCGTTAAAGTGTTTTATTTGAATTGTTTTAGTTTCTGTGTCCTCTGCGAAGTATAGGACAGAAATGTTTTGTGTCTATGTCGCATTAATGGTTATCACTTTGTGCCCTTAACAATTTAGTATGTTTTACTAAGATACTTGAGCTATCCATAAATCATTGTAATTGAATGATATTAATTATGAAGCGCGGATGTCAGAAATAAATAAAACACGTGGAGTTATAATTTATTATTATTTTAAAAAGTACCTTTTTAAAACTTATTTTTATACTTCAGTACTTGTAGGTAGGTGTTAGGTAAGATTACGCCCAGAAAAGGTATTCTAGGAGAACCTAGAATAAAAGATGAAAGCAGATTTGATGTCAATGGAAGTAATAAATTTTGTAAGACAACACCTGAATCTGAAATAGGAAAGTAGGCGAATGTTCATATTCTTTTGCCGCTTACACAAAGGTCACATTTGTAGTGAGGCTGTACGGCCTTTGAAATAAGATGTTTAAAGACGCGAGACATCTTGCTTTTACACCGGAAAACCTGTAGATTTACGTAAAGTCGAGAACATTGTCTATACTAATATATAAAGCGAAAGCTAAGTTTGTTTGTTTGAACGTGCTTATTGAATTGAATTTTTGTGTTGAGAGTATATATCGAGGAAGGTTATAGGTTATATATTTCCGAACGGTTCAAGATACCAAAAAAAGATGTATGGGAAGGATGATTCCTCTTTAAAATTTATAAATATAATAAATGTGGTTTACAAAAACAAAATTTTGATGTCCTATTTAACAATTCTACGCGGACAAAGTAGCTGACACAGCTAGTATTGCATAAAGACGTAGAGACGTTATTAGCATTTGAGAGATCTCCTAATCTTAATTGATCATATCCTTTGACAGAAAGATCTCAGCGCACGAGTTCGAGAGGGGCGGTCTTCTAAAGCCTCTTGTTACGACGGTAGATGGCACCCCGACCTTCCTTGGGGACCAACCTCATGCTACACCATCTCGGCCGCAGAGGCGATCGAGACACGAACTCAAGCAGCTTGATGAGAAGGAGCTTATATTTGAACTAGTAAGTGGAAACGTTATCTGACATATTGTATAATCGAACTGCTTACAAGGTTAGTGCCCAGAAGTACCTAACTCATAGATATATGGTCTTAATAGACCCGTTGGTCTTACTTATAATAAAAATAGTTGTCTGGGATATAATAATGTAGACTTGTCTTCCTCTCTGTTACAAATAAATGCATAGAATACTTTTAAATCATATAATCTAATAGGTTTTACCTGGAATTCGAATCTGAAACGTCGATTGACACTTAATGACAAATCATTGATTAGTTCGCAGAATAAAACTCGATCATTATATTTTCGTTGTTTTTACATTTTCATTGGTATAATGGAAAATTACAAATATCATTTGACGGTTCAACGACTTCGGTCTGATCATTAAAATGCAATTATTGGTCTTAAGTAAGCAACTAATCGTCATTATTGTCTTTAAATCTATTTGCTTTGTGGTATTCTTTACACCGAACAATGAAATGAATTATTATCATATAATGTAAATATTGTAATGACAAATTTCAGTAGTCGTTTAACCGTGTTTATTCTTTAAACCATCCTAAACAAAAAAGTCAAAACGCGATTTATATAAGTTACCGTATTTTAGTACGGTCTTCCCGTGACGTGCTGTTTTACTAATATATATTGCGTTTTAAATCGTTATAAGTATTTTTTTTTGTACTATTCGCGTAAACTACAGACGGTGTTAATTAAGTAAGTACCTAATTGTTCATGTATATTTATAATTCTGTAATTAATTATTTTTTAATGATAGCTTTATTATTTATCCACATAACACAAAAACACATAAAAGAGGAAAAGTATTAATAAATATTATGTGTGGTGTACATGTACAAAAATTTTATCTTTTATATTTTGGATGTCGTTTAACAGAAATAAATAGAGTGACATGGTTATTTTTTTGACTTATATCATTTATCTCACGAAGCTAGGCCAAGGTGTATTTTTTGAAGGATTTTCGAAAGCCCAAACTTGCATTGAAGGCAGCTAGCAGCTTTCACTTTTTCCTACGTTTTTGAAAAAAAAACTCTTAATACCAATAAACCAGACCAGGTCATTATGGCTTGGTTTTCTTTTTTACTTAAACATGCAACATTTAATAGACATCTAAAACGAAAATTAATCGACAATGCATCTTTTTTAATTTTGTGTATAATACACAAAAACTAAATGACCTACAATCAAGTGCACGTTGTCTTTCCTCCTTTATCGTAAAAAGATACAGTTTAAACGGGACCGAAAACAATCCGTAATATCGATGTTAGTAAACAATTATAATGGGATTTTATTCACCGGCTTTAACATATATGTATTAAGAAGAAAAATTCAATAAATATTTAATATTTTGTTTTGATATCTAACAGACTACATAAACCTAAAGAAATTTACGAAATCCGCGGACTAGTATTATTACTCAGTGGAGAAGTTCTGACATTATTTTTGTAAGCAAACATTCCACGTTTCTGTTGATATCGTGTGTGATACAGATAACGCGGAGCTGTATAAACGACCCGTGTCTACTTGTGTACCAATTTAGGCCTCTGAACCGGCAGGTCACTGATAATGGGGGTCCCCGCTTGATAATAATTATATGTAAACAGAGTGTGTGTGATAAGTGTGGCCGTAGGAGGCCTATTCAGCTGCGAAGGCGTGCCTTATCTAAATCTACTATTACCTGCTTGTTAGTAGGGGCTGTTGTAGGTCTAAGTGTAGCTACTTACCCCTTTTAGTAGTTTTCAAGGACTTTTAAAAGTAGCTTGTGAGTAGATTTAAATCAAAAATCCTTTAAATTAAATTTTCTATATGGGTTCCTATAAGACTTTCACGTGGTACTATAACACGATATCTTCGCGAAACAGTCTTCACTCACCTCCGGTCAATCACCTGTTGTCAGACTCAGTAAAATCGTTAATAAATACGACATTTTTATTCACCTCACAAGCTTCGAACCCAGGCAAAAAACCTAATCTCCATTTCTTTGTAGCTTTATAGTAATAATTCTTTTGTTCTTCCTTTTTAATTACGTAATGATGTTTTAGTTATAGATTTGTAATTTAATTTAATTTGTCTTGTCTTTTGGCGAATGATGTGTTTGCCAATAACTATGAATGTATATATTATAAATATATGAATGTAATTTAACGCTGGCAGACCAATAAATAAATAATGATTTCGTATAGTTAGTTATGTAGGTAGACGTGTGAAAAGTCGAATATGTGCATATACTTGTCTATTTTTAGCATTTCATTAGACCTACATTTATCTAACTAATCACTATTCTTAATTACATGAATTACACATAATGAATTCAATAAAAATCAACATGTGATTAGAAACATCTTTTTAATTTTTCTGAAACGTGATGTAATTTGTCCGGAAATGATTACAGATCTGGTGATAAAAATATTTCTTTAACACTTAAACGTTTTGATGTTAAATAAGATAAATTATTAGTCAGAATTGTATTCAATTGATAATAATTTCTAATTATCACTTGATCACAAATATTAATCTTTATGATTATTATCAAACGGTTTCTGTTCTTTTAATAACATAGCAACGACCGGGGGCCTTTAAAGTTAACAATTATAAAGCGATAACAAATCTCTATAAATTATTACGATTTCGAAAAGATGTATCGATTCTTAAATAAAACAAAATTATCGGCTCAAACGCGCTTATTTTTTGTTTATTTTTGATGCTATGCAGCAGTATTTTTTTTTTTACTTTTAAACTTATATGTGGCGTTTTATTTTTTAATTTAAATGTGTTCTACTCGAGTAAACTACGATGTAGGGATAGTCTAAATATTTGTGGCGGTCAATTTTTTTCCATGTCATTGTATAAGTACATTTTAGTTTACATGTAATTTTAAGTGTAACTTTTAAACAATGCTAGCCTCCTGTACATGGTTTTCCAAAAAGTAAATTCAACTCACGTAATTACCAACTTTAGCCGTTAATCTCGACTTTGAAACAAAAATTTGAGTCAAGTTTTACTCAGTATGACTTTGAAATTATCTTTAAGATTTATCAAAGTAAGTAAATACATTAAATAGACTTCGATGATTTAAGAGAATTGTTGTTATTAAACAATTTAGTTGATATTAATTGTATAGTTGCATAAGCTAAAAATTTTGATCGCTAAATTCAATGCCTTTTATTTAAATTATAAAAATTATTGTGAATAAGTTATACATTGCAGTATAGCCCTTATAATTACATTCTCTGTACTAATTTGAGGTTTTCCATTTCTATATTTTCATCAGAAAAACCTCCATCTTGTCCGCCATAATTCTAATACCTGACCTTGTTTGAGATAATATTTCAAACTTTTTTTGGAATAATACAAGAGGACAGAGACGCATGGCGTTAACTAAGGTGAAATGCCCAGCCACATAACATCTCAACAAGATGCGTTCTCGACCTATCTCGACTAAAACCGAATCGACCTACGACATACTACTGTACTGTAATATTAGCCATTACGTATAATATAGCAAATATTAAGTTATAATATAATAAACATTTGCACATATTGTTTGTAATGAGAGTGAAAGTAAGTTCTCTGCGACAGCTGGCGTTTTAATAAAAGAACTAAAACGCCCTAACATATAAATAATATTTCGAATCACGACGCCCCCACAAATGGGGTTAAAATTCATCCATAATGGATCCATTCCCAACAATAAGTGAGGTGAATTGCCGTTGTTAATATTAATGTTTCGTTTATTGCACTTGCAAGTGATTAATTCGTTAATGGATTTTCCAATGAAAACATTATTTTAAATAAAACTGGCCACGTGCGAGTTGAAATAGCTCGCGAAGGGTTCCGTTCCGCCTTGATATACGAGTAGAAATTAAATGTATTGTATTTTGTCTGGAAATCTGGAAATTAAAAAGGTAGGAACATCGAAAATTCCGTCCTGGCCGCGAACTATCGTCCACAGATGAAAAAGACGTGGATTTCCAAATGTCTAAAGCCAACATAGGTAGTCAGCGAATCTTGTGTTTTATTTGGGTACTTTGCCACATCATTGTTTGTCCACCTCTGTCATAATAAGGAATTATAAATTTGATTATCAGCTTTGTTTTAATATTCCTTAATTGTCATTACACCAACAAAAACACAATCTGTGATATTTAAATAAAACACTTTAACGGTTTTAAACGCGATGTATTAGTTAAACTTATTTGAAAATGTGATTCCCAGTAACTACGGCTGCTGCAAAGCATCCGAACGTCGGGCCGAAGTTAAAAATCATGTTCAAATAAGTTTAACTAATATATCGCGTTTTAAACCGTTAAAGTGATTTTTTTTTAAATGTGTACTACTTGCGTAAACTATAGACAGTATACAATCTATGATAATTTAAACTGTCTAGTTATTCATACGATACAGCCAGGTACACAGACAGACTGTAAGTAAGTCTAGCATCGGGGTCCCGTTTTCACCCTTTAGGTACGGAACCCCAAAAAGATGTTTAATTAGTGCCTTTTGATAACGCGACTTTTACAAGTCTGAAACCTTGTGTAGATTAAACGGTAATTTATTCATGATTCATGCCTACAGTTCAACGGCTAATCTGAAAATCTGCCCTTCTCATAAAAATTTAATGAAAAAGTGGGTTAAATATTTCAGGTACGCGTTTGTACGTAATTATTAAAGCAAAGCTAAGATTGGGCTATTGAGTAATGGATTACAATTAAAGCTTAACGTTTATTCCTAATCTAATTTTATCTTAAGCTTCTTAAAGAATAAAATAAAACGCTATAGTTATTGTATTCATTTAACTAATAGAAGGTAAGAATAATAAAACTGTGTTTATCGCCACAGAAACCATAAAAAAGAAACAAACAGACTTAAATCAAAACCTAAAACGAAAATTTTGTGGCCACCTGCACGAAGAACATGGCAGAGCGCTGTTTTTCAGTCTTTTCCCTCTGGCTGAATTTCTGAAAGGATTTAATAAAATAGAGCGAATTGTAAAAATTGCAGCTAACTATACCTATTTACTAATAATATAACAAAACGACAAGGACGTATTTTAAGTAGATTTTATATTTCGCGTTTTAAACCGTTAAGTATGTTTTTTTTTCATGGTTCATCAGATACAATGTTAATATACGGTCGGATAGTCTTGTCTCAAGTATTTAAGTAACCATTAACAATGGTACAATGACTTCCAAAATCTCCAATTTGTAACGAAGATAATCTAAAACAACTTTGCGAATTCTCGTGCAGTGTCCGAGGTCTAACACAATTTCCGAAACGGGTCGGGGCCCCGTCTACGTGCCGTGAGGTATAATCGGATACTCGTTGACGTAGTTTTAGGGGCTTTAAATAGATTGATACTCCGTAATTAGTTTCTGATGTAACATCGACGAGATGAGGTCACGTGCGAAATACGGAACACCTGCGATGTCTGATAGGGCTTTCGTTGCGGAGTCTAACAGCAAATTATTGGGGTATAAGCTTTAAACGGATTTAATTTAAGGTAATTTTAATACGACACGAGACATGCCTTTTATGGAAATAACAAAAGTTTAAAACTTTAACTGTTTAAATTGTGAAAACTTAAATTTTTCACACGGTATTGCATATGATGGCATAGATTGAAAAAAATTAAATTTGACTTGATGGGAATCCGTGGCCCGTTGATTATTAGCCATTAAGTAATTCCTTTAGTTAAATTTATTACAACATTATTATAACTACGGCCCGACGTTTCGGTTGCTTTGCAGCCGTGGTTACGGGGACACCGTCACTTGTGTGAGTTAAAATATTGTTCAAATTAGTTAAAGTGTTTTATTTAAACAAAACATCGTTGTTGCTTACTCTGCAAGATATATATTAAGATTTTCTTTTTTACCTGACGATATTATTATTTACGTAGTGAAGTATGCGAAAATGCGTCGGAATCAATACACACGGAGTGGCTTGACGTAGATTATTTGTATAGATTACGATTCTTTTACGCAATGTTATAGGTATCGGCCAGATAAGAATTGGTGACGTAGTTACTTTGTAACTAATGTATTGTATCCATTACACTAGTTATCTGTCGAACCGCATAATAATTACATAAATGACAATAAAAGGAACGAGTCTACGTCACAGTCCCATATATGTATAACTATATTAAAATTATAATGATGAAGAGTTTGTTTGAACGCGCTAATCTCAGAAACGACTGATATGATTTGAACAATTGTTTGTGGTTTGACCATTTATTGGAGAATACTTTAGGCTATAAAACATCACGCTGCAAACCAATAGGAGCGAAGGAACATAGAGAAATGTGAAGAATAAACGGGGAAAATTTTGGTTTATTTATTATTCTGAGATTTGTGCGTTCAAACGAACAAAGTTTTCAGTCTTATATAATTTATATTGATTAAAGGAATCAATTCTTCAATACATAATTGTAGGTATATAAAAAGTAATGCAAAAAAGTACTCATTAGTACTCATTAGTTTTTTACTACTAGTACTCATTAGTTTTCAACATTTGTTTTACATGTAAAAGTAACGAGGATCTCGATGAAGGGGATTACTTATAAACCGAATCTTTAATAAACAGTATAGGGACAATTCCTTAATTTTATATCTTCAATATCATCAGGAACAAACGCAACAAATGCATGACAAGAAAAATATTGATATTTTTCTCGATAAAGCAGTGCATACTTATATGTGATCATCGAAAAAGCCTATAAACAACAGTTCCATACAAGGGCATCCCTTACAGCTCCCATATCATATAAACCCATATACTCAACAATACTTAAAACTTTGTACTTTAATAACATATAGGTGTCGCATAAGTACCTACTGTACAAATATTATGTAAAATTGTAATGTTTATATACATATTAATGAATTTAAAATAACTCTCACTAAGGCAGGAAATATTAAGTACACGTTAATAGCTTCTAATTAAACTAGAGGACAAATTTCGTGTAACGTAAGACGCGCAGATTATGAATATTAATGAATTCTGCGGAGCGATTCCTTCGCCTCCCACGCAGATCGCCCTCGTTGATTTGATTAACGATGTTTACGAGGGATTTACTCGGTAAACGCACCACTGATCTTTTAAACGTTTCCCCGACATTTGCCCGACAACAGCGCAGCCGAAAGAAAGAATAGTGATTTTGTCAATTTATGTAATGTCTGTAGTTTACTCATTTAAACAATAACGCTTTGAAATTTCACGTTTTGAAGTGTTAACTGAAATACCATTTATGAAAAAATGTGTCTAACTATTCATAATAGTCTTCCGTATACAAACATACAAGTACCTACTAGAGGAATTATTGTTCATACCTATTTTCAGGGTATTTTGAAACCCAAACTTCTTCTTGAAACTTCATCTATGAATGAATGATTTCCGCGGTCTTTTCCACATCTCCCCCTGTTTCTTTGCTTCTAATGGCCTTAGCATGATGTTTTATAGCCTTCCTCGATAAATGGTCCAACCAATACAAAAAGATTTTTTCAATTCAAACCGGTAAATCCAGAGATTAGCGCGTTCAAACAAACAAACTCTTTAGCCTTATATATTAGTACAAATAGATAATAATTCTTTCATGACGTTCCTCGTTAACCGTTAACGCATCTTTCTTCCGTACACAGTAGCTACTTTGCAAACATTTAATCCAAAAGACCGATACCCTCACAAGCCCCACTTCCACCCCAATTCAACACTATTACAAGTCTTGCGTTTTCCGAACAAATGTCCGACAGAACTCGTGAACTTAGTTGATAATCAAATTTGTAAATAGTATCAAGCGATTGTGTGATCGATGTGTGTTTATTGATCTGTCAAATAAGAATTATTTCGGCGTCACGTGAATTACCTTTTTTGCGAGATAACTATTTTCTTATGACTTATTCCGTACGTCACAATCACATGCGCTCAAAAGTAACTGGACAATAGGGCGTCAATTCTCACGAAAAATATATATTTTATTGAATGGTAGAGAAAAACAAAGAAGCATTCATTCATCAACAGGGTTCATTAAAAGGAGAAGGAAGGTCTCAGCCTTATAATACTAACACAATGCGCTGTCGACCTTTTTTTGTATCTGGATATTCGAGATCCATATAATCCTATAAATAAACTTATCAGGGATACAGAATCGTGTTCACCTTCGAACGCAAAGGAGGAACGAGGTGTTCTTATCCTACAAAATAACATCCTTTCGAATATAAATAAAACACTTTTAACCGTTTTAAACGAGTAAAATTCGCGGGCAAAAGCCAGTCCTATAAATTGATTCCTTAAAATGTATATAGACAAATTTAACTTATATTGTAAACGGATAAGACGGTGCGGGTAGAACCAAATGCTAGTTCAGTTTGAAAACAAATTACCCTAGTTTCTCAGTAAGAGATTTTATGTTATCATTATATATGTTTTTAATTATAAATTAAAAGAAAAAAATATGCATAGCACAATTATATTACAGTCTACATTATTCGAACGTATCAGAACATCTTCCTAGCACAGCCGAACATTTGTTTAATCCGCCGTCGCAATTTATTCACGTCTATTGATATCGGAATGATTAATATGCCCGTGGATATGGGTTGGACGTGACTGACCCACTAATCTGGCTACCAGAAACTACCCAGAACATCATTATCAGTATATGTTTGGTACTTGACACGAAAAAGAGCAACGGTCATTGCAGTTATGAAAATATTAGATTATTTTTATAAACAATATAAGTTAGAACTGGCAATGCTTAGTGTAAAGGTAATCGCACATATGAGAATAATTAAATAAATAAGGATATTGAGAAATGTGCGATCATCTTAAGCTGTCTTATAGTGCGTCTTTAGGTAGCTAAACCAAGTAGCGAAGTAGGAGTAGGACTCGGTAGCTAAATTGTTTAGAGCAGCGGCACGGAAGCCACAGAATCGTACCCGAGTCATGAAAGTTTTCTGGGCTCCTTGGCATAATGGTAGCAATGTATCGCTAATAATCAACGGGTCGTTCGGGTGTTTTCGACCCTTACCGAGTCTGACAGGTTTCCTATCAAACTGTAATTCTTCTGAAACATGTTAGACTTCATCTCGAAATCTGGAAATTAAACGGAAGGTAGGAATAGGGGTAGCGCAACCTTTTTAGATGTTATATGGCTGGGGTATTTCAACTTCCATCAAGTGGAGACCCATGCCCCCATGCTTGTGTGTTCCCTTTCCAGAAAAGAGTAGATAATGTTTCACCTAATCATTTCGAAGAAACTATGACCGTTGATCAGTTACGCAAATAAAAAAAATACTCGTATGCAAGAATTTTTTTTACCGAAGTAATAGTCGTTTAAAATAATATGTTTCCAATTATTCATTTTATCGTAATAGAAAACTTGTATCAATTACTGGTTTCTTTGTTCCAGGTGAAGGATATCTGCAATGAATTAGAAGTTCGGGTGTTATGCCACAAGATCCTGCAGAACGTGTCGATACTGCTCGATGCCGACCGAGGGTCGTTGTTCCTGGTGCAAGGAGAGAAGGCTGCGTCACCGCATCCGCAGAATGGCAGGTAATTTAGTTCTATTGATATTGACTATTAGCTATGTCCACTTCCTAGAAGATAAGAATCTTAGATTGTATACAAGCGATTCGATCCGAGAAATATGAATTCTGAATGCAATTTCTTGGTAATTAATTCTTTTGTAATTGTCAATGCGATCTTACGTAACCTTAGTACCTACAAATAGTTGTTCGATAATTTTGTGTAGACAATCTGGATATTAAATGAGTGGAAATTAATGAGTAGAGAAACATTGTAATTCCGTTAAGACCGAACTAACCACAAATAAAACATAATAAAGAACGAAGTCGACAACGCATGTAGTAAGGGCTGGCGCATTTAACTTTCCGTCGAGGGAAATCTAAGCTCAATACTGTCTATAGTTTATGCGAATAGTACACATTTAAATAAACCACTTTAACGGTTTAAAACGCGATATATTAGTTAAACTTATTTGAAAATGATTTTTAACTTCGGCCCGACGTTTCGGATGCTTTGCAGCAGCGGTGGTCACGGGCTAACATCGGGCCGAAGTTAAAAATCATTTTCAAATCAGTTTAACTAATATATCGCGTTTTTAACCGTTAAAGTGTTCTACTTAAAAAATAAACCCAAGTTTTTCATTGAAATGTAATGAACTTATTTTACCTAAAAGTAATTATATTTATGAGGTGTGTCTGACAAACCGAGAGCCGTTAAGTTCTTTGGTCAATTTCAATTTCCTGATGATATTCGGTCTTAACTCTCCGAATGGTCTGGTATTTCCGAATGAACAAAGCTAAAATAGGTTCACAGCACATCTGTGTTGTGATGATACAAAATAATATTATTGTTAAAACTTTTAATTTTGTTATAATTATTACTTCTTGTTTATTTGTTTGTGCCGGCTTGTTCCGGCACTGGTTCAATTTTCTAATGTCACTTGAATGTATGTTTCATTGAGCTTAGTTTATTGTTTCGAAAATCCCGTTTGAAAGGAAAATATTGGCGACGTATTCTGAGAATTTTTCCGGTTTCGGCATTTCATGATTTATTGCTATGGCAGAACAACTTTGTTGAATTAAACCAGTTTTAGAATTAACCGCAGTTATCCAAAGCTGAAATAGGTCGACGGCGCATCTTGGTTAGATGCTATAGGCTGGGGTATATCATCAACCATCATGTGAACCCATGCTCATCTGTTCTCCTGTATCATTACAAAAAATCTTCCTTCGCTAACGCTTTTCTATAGATTAAAGGTAAATTTGTATGAGCTAACCTGATAATGTCAAATTACCATCTACCGAATTTCCCCGAACCTAAATTAAATAAAGAAATGTCAATGCAAATTTCCTTTACGTGACATCTGCCTAAAGTGAAATTGCTTATTCAATTTCCCTAATACGCTACAGCGAAAGAGCGTGTATGTAATTATTTTGAAAAGAGCAGAACGGTTCTGTAAGCCCGGGGAAGCATATACTCAATTGAGGAATAGATCAAGCAGATTTGAGAAGTTTAAATACAAAAATCGATCCAGCTTAAACAAAACGTTAATTGCACGACACGACGAAAGCAGAAGCTCGAAATTTAGCCCGTATCATGAACCATCGTCCACAGATTAGGAAGCCGTGAAGTTTAAACACGTTTCGATTTCAGTCTGTGGATTTCCGAATATCCAAAGCCAAAATAGATCGACAGCACAAGATGTGCTGTCGATCTATTTGTGTTATAAGGTGGGGTATTTCACCTACCACTAAAAAACTACAACCCATGATGGTGTAATCTTCTACCGTTTTAAAAAAGCATCACGCAATACTCTTTTACGATCGTAATTGTAATAATCGGAATTGCTACGCATTTTCCAATGTGTGTCTTGAGAATATTCCTCACAAGTACACCACGTTATTACATTTCATACGAAGAATAACAGAGCGTTCCCAAAAGCGATAACATCTGTACGAATATGAGCTATATTGTTTGAGAGCAACGCTTTAATATACATTATCTCGTCTTAGATGGGTTGGCATTCGTGTCTGAGCTGGATTAAATCGCACAGTTTACGCTTATCTTTATAGACAAAGCCTTACAAGGAGTGTCACGAGTGTAATGAGTGTGACGTCACTAGGCCTATTTGAATTGTTAACAGGCAAGGGTGGATTAAGTGGAAACTGGTTACGTAGAAACATGTTGGAGAATTCGCTTTATTTGCATATCGTGATAAATGTTTTCGACGTCTGATCGCGTCATAGAACCGGTATGCTCTATGGCGTTGTGAATTTGTATAACAATTTTAAACGAGATTCCTTTGATTTACGCTAGCATCTGAAAGTCCCATTTTAAAAGAGGCTGCAGGGTCGAATACGATTACGAATAAACAGCGCTCGAATAGTAGGGTGTGTTTGTGGAAAAAGGAAACCAGCGTGGTCTATCGTCGGCGTGTCGAGCGTTCACTGCAGGCCTTCCTCATTATTAGACCATGACAAAGGAAAAAATCGGAAGTCCAATATTCGCACAAATCGCGTACGTCCGGCGTGGACCACACATTTTGTCGACTTAACGACGCGCGTCTGCTCTCTCCCGCTTTTATTTTCATGGTTTCGGTAATGTAATGTGATGTAAAAATAAACGATCGCCCTGGGAAAATAACGTCGCGGTTTACCAATTTCTCGGAAAACGTTCTCGACATTATCCTATGAATATTGTTTTGTAATGTAGAAAGAATTTTGTACTAAAATATTATCACTTTAGTAACCTTAATATTGTTTATTACGGTAGTGTATCTAATGTGGGACACGAATTTATTGTGCCCAATAAAATGTTCGGCTACATCGCTTTGATATTCAGCCTGTGGCAGTTGAGGTAATAAATATTTATTTCGTATCCTTCATTAGCTTCCTAGCTGAATACTATTGTTAAACGAAACCTTTGTAGAATACTTTTGTATCGTTATGATTTCGTTCGGCATGTTCCGTATTGTTTACGGCCCTGGCTGGAATCCAAGTTACTTAACTTTCTGCACTATAGTTCCCGAGGGTGCGGTGGGCTAGAGGTCTAATCGCTTCAATCTGTCTTCGGTTACACGCTCAATTTCACGATAGTAATGTTATATGAAATAACAAGGACACCGTTATCTTCTCATCTAATTACTTTTCTTATTAGTTCGTTACATAGATCTTATTTTTCTTGAAAGACAATTTCTAATAGAAAGTTTTAAGTTAAAGCGTATTTTTGTTTATTTTTAAAGGGATTTCAAAAGTATTAAGCATTTTGCATTCTTTTATTATGTCAAGTTAATTTGTATAAGCTTTATAGAAAACCTAATTTTATCAAGAATAAAATTAATGAGCTTATGCCCTCCCTAAACGATTTTTTGTCAGTTCATTCATTCCGTTTGATTCTAAATGAAATGTCAGAGCTTAATTGAATAATTCGAAAATACTTCCCTAAACACTCAACTGAACTCCGGTAAAATTACAGTAAACTCAGTTGTCGTAAAAGTCCAATTTACATACACTCCGATGTCTCGGCGAAGTTTAGAAGTGTTAATAAATGGAGCGTGACAGTTAACGTCCTAACAAAAAGTAATCGCTTTTGAAAGGACCATTTCGGGCTTCAGCCAATGTTTCCAGATGTCTTCCAACTTAACAGGATAAAAGCTAATGGGGCTAGAGTCGCTAATTTCGAGACAAAAGGAATTTAAATGTTTAGCAAAGTAAAGCTGAGACACAGTAAAACAATAAGAGCCCGAATACGTTCTGCGTTCGAGAACGTAATCTAATCGCCACTTAACGTTGTTGAATCGGAATGAGACACTCGAAATTTCATGTACGTACGATCTTCAGAATTGGCTGATACGTCTTCATTGCCTTTTCCTGTTAAGGTTAAGGTCGGGGGTGAGACCGGCCGAGTGGTGTGAGGGAATCACGCTTAAGTGGAACGAGCGTATGGGAATTTGGGAGATGACACGAGTAAGTGTCTTGACGATTATTCTATGATGTTATCTGCGTTTGCGGCGGTTGTTATTACGTCGGGTAAATACATCTATTTAAGAACAACAGTTATAGCACTGTAAATTAAAAATGGTGAATTAAAAGAAAATATAATAAGCTTATGCCTCAAGAAATAACAAACGGAATGCAAAAATGTTCATCTATAATATTTTTCAAATCAAACAATATGTTTAAATTGCGTCTGCGCAGTTTACAATTTCCATTTATGCCATCGTCTTTGTCATCTTGGTCCTCATTCAAATTTCAATCGTTTTCGTGATTGTTAATGTTTTGAAATATACCTGCTGCTTTATCATTGTTGCAGTGGTTTTATAAGATTACAAAATCCGCTGCACTTAATCAAAAATAATTATGATCATTAACGCTCTCCGCTTAATGGCTTCGAAATTGAATCCCAAAGAATCCGGTTTCGCAATTTAACTTAACTACTATGATCAAGTGCGTCCTTGAAGTCCATGAAATGGACGCGAATTCTCAAAGTAAGGAATAAATTGATCACTCTCATTATTCTAAGGATAATGTCTGAAGCTCTGCCGCAAATCACCACAAATCTTACTCCGAGCCCCGTCATCATTTACAAGCTTTCTGGCTATCGTAAAATTCGCAACCCTGGATAGCTCACAAAAATAAACTGGAAACATGCAGTTTTTTCTTTGTTTCCTATTTCTGTTTTCTATTAAACTATTTCATTGAAATAAGTATTATTTTGATTTAGTTGCATTGATACTGAAATGATCTAGTGATATTATATATTTATTATAAATTAATATTTTAATGTCGTATTATATATTTTTATTTTTGTAATTCGTGGTTTAGCTGTGATTACTAAAAACTTTGAGATATATATTAAATTTAAATAAAACACTTTAACGGTTTAAAATACGATATATTTTAGTTAAACTTGTGAAACGTCGGGCCGTAGTTAAAAATAATTTTCAAACAAGTTTAACTAAACTATATCGCGTTTTAAACCGTTAAAGTGTTTTATTTAAATGTGTACTACTCGCGTAAACTACAGACAGTATTTATATATTAAAAGTTCTTTTACGCAGACCAGTTTTATCTAGATTCGTTATCGGTTGAAGACATTAAATTCGTTTGAATAGGACTTATAAATTGATAATAACGTAGATAAAGTAAGTTTCCGTAAATAATATCAATAACTGCAATATAATTCTTTGATAAGAAATGTTAGTGGAGTCAGGTGCATGAGTTTGAATTTTAATTTAAGTTGAAAGAATGTCTTATCACACGCCTTGTTGAGTTAATAAATACAATCACATATTCAACTTCAAAATATGAATTATATAAGATTACGTATGATGTGTATTATTTTACCGTTGTTTCTTTTTGACCTTCTTTACTTGCCAGTCTATAGTAATACAAGTTGAAGAATTTGTTTGTTTGGACGTGCTAATCTCAGTGACTACTAATTCGAATTGAAAATATTTGTTGAGTTAGTTTACAATTATCGAAGACTCAATTTAGGCTATAAAATATGAAGCCGCGACCAACAGGAGCGATATACAGAGGGAAATGTGGAAAACTATTCATCTCTAAGGGTGTCTGGTACGTGCGCTGCGAAAACAGTTCATGATACCCAAAAACTATGAATTTAATAAAGTATTATTTAAATAATCTAAAAATAGTCCGTGAAAATAATATGGCAAAAGAACCGCTACATGAAAACTTGTCCTCTTACATATTTTTCTTTCTGGGCCAGTTGTACTTACCTCTGAATGAAAGCAAAGCGTGTTTTGAAAATTTCATAGATCATTCGAGAATCTTAGAAATGCGTCAACCTTACAAAACCTATACTGGTTTGTACATTATATCTGTTGACTCTGAAATTAAATGTATCCTAGCTATTTGCCGATTGGCAAATTCCTCGGACAGGGCAAGAATTCGATTACGATCCTGTCTTGTGCCTGTCTGTTTCATTCGCAAACAGTTTGCATGATTGCCCTTTTGAATTTACTTGGAGCGTTTAAAATTTTCATTTCCCGACACTTTGAGTAACGCCTGAGGTTGTAGCTGTAGCTGGCTGCGATTTTATACAAAATAAAAAAATCTCTTTTATGGTTACTTTAAGCCTTTTGCTATTTCTGCCTTAAGTCGTCTCTTTACTGTAAGAAAAAAGCAATTTAGTTTGTAACGAAACCCGCTGCAACCATTCTTAATGCAGCTACTAGCAGCTTAAATAAGAAAAACAGTGCTGTTCGAAGGTATTAAGCATTTAGTATTCCTTCACAGATGTTTGGTGTCGAAGCTATTTGACGTCTGCTCCAAGTCTACCCCTGAACAGATGGAACAGCTGGAGGAGATTCGGATACCCTGGGGATCAGGTATCGTTGGCTATGTAGCGGAAAGCGGCGAACCGGTCAACATACCTGATGCTTATAAGGTAATTAAACTATTACAATTAGATGTTAGTCTAATGCTTCATTTTACGTACATGCCCTAGTAAATAGTAATATTAAAGGCCCTTAAAGCACCTACACACAACATAATATAGAAAGTGTTGGTGTATCGCAGTAATAATGTTTAAACACATTTTCAAAACGCCAAAAAACAGGGTAGGTTCTCATACAAATAATTTAATTTACATAATACATCTGAATCCAGATAGATCATAAATTGTAAGACGAATATAAGTCAAGGGAGATAAATGGCCACAGCGCTAAATTTAATATGCCAGACTAAAGGTCCTGAGAGAAATTGTCTTTTAGAGTTCGAAAAGCATTCGCAAAGTGAAAATGATTGATGCTCCAACAAGTATCAGATAAAGCGTTCAAATTATTTCACTACGCTATATTGTTAGGGAGTTGACGGGCGATGGTATTGATACGATGACAAAAAGTGATAAGGGAAACATATTGAGAAGTGGCGTTGGAACGACGAATGAAGATTGGAAAAACGTTATGGAATTTTCCTACGTTTATGTCCCATAAATAATCTAGCGAATAAACAATCTCTTCCAATAAGTTCATGTGCTTCAATTGACAGAAAAACAGCTTCATTATGGCACTTATAAAAGAAATAGCAAACGTTCTCCATTAATTATAATCAAAACCGAGTTAACTGAAAAAGTTTCCCCCTTTACTAATTACATCGCTTTCATAAATCATGCACAATTTTATTTTACTTATTAAAAGCTGCTCGCTAAGAAACTAGAGCCTTTTGTTTTGAAATTCAATTTACTCAACGTTTACAAGTTCGACCGCCTTAAGAGGTTGAGTTTGAATCCAGTAGACTAAAAATATCTATACTTGCTACAACACAATCAGACACATGTTAAATACTGTGTGTAGTTTACACGAGTAGTAGACATTTAAATAAAATACTTTAACCGTTTAAAACGCGATACATAATAGTTAAAACTTATTTGTGAAGTGCTAGCATAGCAATTTTAGAGACATCCTCCATCTTTAGACTCCCTGTGACCACGGTTGCTGCAATGCATTTAAAAGCAGCAGCAACAGTTAAAAATAATGTTTAAATTTTATATATAGCGTTTTAACCGTTAGTGGGTTTTTTTAAACAGATACATGTTTGCTAACAATCCATCGGTACAATAAACAATCGTTTATCATGCGTGTGTGTGGAAAAAAATCATTGAATGAATGACGGGCGTTGTTTGTTACGAGCGGGTCGTTTCAAAGTTTCCGGTAATTTTCAAACTGGGTTTTGCAAATTCTCTTTGAGCTTTAACTGACCATGATGGATCTCTCGTGTTGTAAATGTTACGTGTCAACGTCGATCTAATAATGTGGTAGAACGTTCTAGATCCTGAAACGGTTATCAATACTGACTAAGCAAGTGATCATTTTAATTTTTGTCAAACAGTAAAAGGGCAACAATAAAAATATCCCCTTACCCAAACATTCCAAGTCCTTAGGCATTACAAATTCTGTATCGTTCTCTGTGGTTCTGTTATTCTGGAATGTTTATTTCTTTTTACCAAGCAATCGATACCATTAATAATATATTTTGGATACAATTTCTTTGTGATAGTCCTATACAAAAAGTTGCAACAACATTTGACGTCAGTGTGCCTGTGCTTTTGACGTAATCTGTACGAGATAATAAATTGTTTTTATACCATACATTTTTTTGATGTTTTAAAAATTCAGGTATGTTTAAATCGAGTATAAAGCATTATTTATATTCCGTACAATCATCAAAAACAAACGTCGGGCCGTAGTTCAAATAAGTAATATATATTGCGTTTTGAACTGTTGAAGTGTTTTATTTAAATGTTGACTACTCGCGCTCACTACAGACAGTATTTAACTACTGGTAGAAAATAAAGCAATGTTTCTTTATCTAATTATTACTATGACAGTTGTGCAGTTACCCCCCCCCCCCCATCTAGACTGGAGAGGTAGGAAACGTGCGCTAGTCCGAACTACATGTGATTTTTTAATACTTAAAATGTGTTTTGTTCCTCTTAAAAAGTCATCGGCTACGTTTGTTTCGATTTACGCATGAAATACATCGCAAATGTAAACAAACTAATTGAAATGTGTAACCAATATGTGCAAACATCATCGTTAGGATGATTGAAAATATTGTTCAACTACGTAATTGATCTCGTCTTGTTAGTTTTTGTTTTATTTGCATGTGTTTATTTATACATTTTCTATTTTAATTTTGTTTTATCCCGTATCTCCTGGGGCACGAGGCGAACACGTTTCTGCTTTATTTACAGGCAAGTAGTTGATAAGACTGCTGTACCCTGCCCGACCGAAAGAATTTGTTTCAGCGGGATTCGAACCCAGGACCTCTCGCTTTTGACGCAATGCTAGTTAATTTAATAATAATAAAAGTAACAAATTGTGTAGCCATCTACACGCCTACTTGAGAAAAGAATCTGATAATAAAGGACAAGTCTCCATATATCGTATATACTGTATAAACATGGATATTTTAGGGACATCCGTTTTAGCAAACGCGTCATAAATTGACCCTGTTATCCATCATCCCGTTTTTTTTTTCAATAATAGAAGTGTTTTACTTTTTGGAGTAAGCTTTTTACTTGTACTATCTGTGTAAGCGACGTCGCGTAAAGATGAACTTTACGCGACGTCGATTGCGTCCCGTTGTTCTCGCAAGTTAATCTTAAAAGATTGACGTATACTGTCGTTGACATTTTTTTTAGATCATTTAAAGAGATATAATTCTTACACATATATTTTTGCGGTATCTTGAACCGTTTTCGCGGCGTACGCATCGGAAATCCACAGAGATGAAAATTTTCCTCCGTTTTTTTCTATTTCCCGCTGCTTTTTACTCCTATTAGTTACAGCGCAATGTTCCTCAATAAATGTTTAAAGAAACACAAATAATTTTCCAATTCAAAGTAGTTCCTGAGATTAGCGCGTTTAAACAAACAAATCCTTCAGCTTTATATATTAGTATAGATTCTCGAGTAATCCGGTATTACGGTGTATTGAACAGACATATATTTTTGTCCGTTATATACATTTTACATAAAAAATATCATGCCCTGCCGGAGGAAAATGTAATATATGGCAACATTTTTTTCATATATTGGAATCTAAACGATGAAATGTCATTCGAGAAGATTACGTTGTACAAAAACCTTTTTCGTTGAGTACCTTATACCACAACTCGTACATAAAAACGGAAATCTTGTTATGTTTCACGATGGCGTGGATGCTTATCTAAAAAATCGTTGCTTATTAAGTCTCATTTGTCAATTTTCTATCGGATCACACGAAAAGTCCCAGATTCGGGGATAAAACTTAACAGTATCATATATATTTATATTATAAAGCTGTAGCGTTTGGTAGTTCAGGAACTGGCTGGTTCAAATTGAAAATTTACTTTTGTCTTAGTCGAAGTATTCATCGCGTAAGGTCTTAAGTTATTTACTATCACCTACCATTAACTTATCTCGCTTATCCGGCCTCCTCTAACATTAAAAATTAATAATTTTCATTAGCTTATTTAATTATAATTTCAGGTAATTTTCTCGACCATGTAATCGAAAAGTTTTGCAGTAGTTGTAGGCTAGATGTTTAATCTGAGACTCGTATTAAGTGTCAGCAGTAAGCACATTGTTTGTGATGTTAGGAGCGTGTGATCGAGTACACATGAATAATTCCTGCGGTGGCTTTACGATAAATGGGCCGCTATCAATTCGCACAGTTCATGAATTCCGCGATAGGGCTCATATTGGTTAGGGAACAGGGTTGAAATAATATTAGACTCGATAGTAAATGACTAACACATCACTCCGTTAGAAAACTATTAATATCGCTCGCTGAATAGCAGGGGTCGTGTTTGTATCGTCGACGATCTGACGCTGACGTATGAAGGTTGAGATTTGAAAAGTTGATGAAAAATTACAACATTTCTCTCACATATAGACGGTTTTATTTTACTTCGTAGTATTATATTTCTGTATATATAGTGTGGGGTTTACTTAATTGAAGGTGCAGTACTCCTGCTATGTAACTAACAAACAAGATTTGCCGTCGACTTATTTTGGCTTTGATTATTCGTTTGTTTCTTTGCTAAACGTGTTGCATTCAAAATGTTACATCTAAGTGATGAGCATGTAATATTGACTTACTGATTTTTATTATAACTGGGACAGTTTGGAGAAACCCGAAAGATAAAAGGAAACTGTCTGAAGGACCATTTGGTATTTTCATCGAAAAAAAAAATTCGACTTTAATTTTTTCCCCATAAGTTGTGTAAAAATGAGTCATTTGGAGACAATAATAAGTGCTTAGATTCATAAATAATGAATATTTAATACGTATATTGGAAGAAAAACACTGCCGAAGTAGTACACAAAAGTTTACAACTAAGTGAATGTCACAAGAATACTGTATACATTTAATAATAATATTTCAAACCAAGCAATATTTTTTGTAAAATTTCAATAAGCGGGATAAAAAAAAATAGAGGCACAGAATTTAACTGTCTAAAAGCTACATAAGTTAAGAGATTGTAATATAGTAACATATTAGGGATGGCCACTATCCAGTTTCGTTTTAAGTGCAGTTAATGATTAAATATATATTTCTAGGTTTTTATATATATATTAGTACAAGGAGGTTTAGTTGACTGTGGCGCCTCTGCGGTTGACTCATGTAAGTGAGCAATTGTGGCGTGTTGCTGTCAAGGTCGATCTTGCTTGAGATTAATTCGTCATGGTCCATTTACATCATAATGTTAAACCGCGGAGTTACATTCATACGAATTTCATTTAATAGTAATAAAAGTTAATTATTTAAAAGTCGTACATAAAAATACACATACCTCCTTAGGTTAATCATAATATATTGAATTTAAAAGACAAAACAAAAATAAATGTAAAAATCTTTTTTTCTCTTTCTTTTCCCTATAACTCAAACAAACGAAAAGTTGCTCGAATTTCCTACGTTCCCCGTAATTCTGTACTTTGTGTATCTTTGTAAGCTGCCCCGTCTTATAGTGCTTTGATCACAGGTCTATATCTTATGATATGAAACAAAGTTGGTTCTGAAAACTTTTATTTAAGAATCTTTGAGCAATTTTCATTGTTTTTGATACGCTTCCATCACACAAAAGATTGGATCTGTGAAGAATTCTTTCTTAGGCGGCATCGCACTCTGGTTGTTTGTAGTGGTTCAAAATTTTCAAACTTCCGTCGGACTTATGATCGGGATGCATAAATAGACAGTTTGTGTATGCTAGCGCAATTAAATAATAGATATTGTGTTTAACGAAATGATACGTGCAAAATGACTATTCCCAAATATCAAACGTGTTCATTAATTTCACACATTAAAGTTTTCCCTTATAGCACTGCAACATTTTTTGTCACAACGAAGCTATGGCAAGAATAAGTCCAATACCATGTATGATCAATACAAGTCGTACGTGTCATTTCAATGTCTGTTGAGGTAGGCATAACAAAAATAAAAAAGTGATTACCTTAACAATATAGCACTCAAGGAAAATGTCGTTGCAATTTCCACGTATTTGTATAACATAATATTTAAAGCCTTCTTTGTTCGTGTAAATTCAAACCAAAAATGATAATTGAAAAAATGTCTATTATTTTTTAATAAAAATAGCCAATAATTAGTGATTTAGCGTTATTTAAAAATGATATATATTTTTTCATACTTATTATATTCTATGATTATTTTAATATCTATATATCAAAGAATATAAAACTTAACTTCTACAATAAGCACTAAACATCTTAACCTAACAAAATTAGTTGTCTTGTAAAAGAGTACATAATAATATTCTTATGAATAATTTGAGTCGAAGCTCATATTTCATAAGTATTTTAACTCCAATATTAAAGAATAAAGAATTAAATTTTCGCTCATCATCCCTAATGCTTTTGTCAACTTTGAGATGGATTTTCCTTGTATTTGGCATTTTGGATCCTTCTCAGTCATCTTTTGTTCTCACGAAATTGTAATTGGATTTTATTCAATAGATAAGAGACCAAGTCCAATTTCGAAAGAAGTCGTACCTTATTTCGATATTAAGGGCAGTTATTCTCGAGTTTCAGATAAAAGGCTACCGCGCTCTTTATCTAAATCCCCTGGTTACAAGTATCTACGACTAAGAATATCTCCCCGCGGACACAATCGAATATCTGGTTCTGTTTTATTTTTATCGACTGGGGTACATTCTTTAGTGGAACATTCAAAGGTCTTTGACATCTCCATCGCTGAAATGAAACATTTGTATGTAAAGTTTCCGAAGTCATCTCGCCTGAAGACGGATGAATACTATTTGTATGAATCGATTTGCAATTCAAATGCTTTTTGTTGCACTGTGTTTTATAAATCTTTGTAGCTGAAGTTTTACACGAGTGCAATACATTGTATTTGTGAACCGTCGTTTAGAGAATTATTGCTATTGTTTTAAACATAATTCATAAGCGTGCTAAATTCTATATTGTGTTTTGGTTGTTGCGACTGAAGTGTAAACTTATCGCCTTAAATTTACTTATTTCGTTCGAGGTTTTAATTATTTTATTTTTCTAGCTCATTTTATGTTGATACAAATTTCATTACAAGAATAAGGTTCTTGTAAGTTTATATTAAAAGATAGGCTTTTGCAGTTATTTTCTCAAAGTTTTCTACTGTTCTTTCCCTCTAATTGGTCACAGCTTGATGTTTTATCGCGTAGAGCCTTCCGCTATGATCCAACCGGCACAAAAAGAATTGTTCAATTTCGAACCAGTAGGTTCTGAGATTAGCACGTTCAAACAAAACAATATAATGTTACGATGTTAGTTAAGGTTTCGCTAACTAAATATTTGAAGCAGATGACATAAAGGTTTGAAGTATATTTTTATTAATGTCTACCATTCATGCTGTCCTAAATGTCGGTTTATTTTTTCAGGCTTCAGAAGCAGAAACTTCAGTAAAGTTATAACTTATAAATATTGTAATAACATTAAAATGCTCATATCGCGTTCAATTTATTTGAGTGCGATCAATAATAAAGCTTAGTACTGTTTATTCAGAATTTTATCTTAATGGAATTCTGTCATAGTGTGTCGATCAATTTATGCTGTATCCGATCAAGGGTAAACCCGAGCTAACAAAGCCCTTGTCGAAAGCAATAACATGCATCGTGTTTTATTATCGCACTTATCTGATAGTACGAGTGTTCATAAAGCTCTGATATATTACTGAAACTTTTACATTGTTTGATACTGTGTTGTAAAGTATCGACAATGCTGATTTGTTCAATGTTAAATTGTGAAATCTCGATTCCACCTATGGGACGTTGGCGATGATCGATTTTATTGTGCCCCACTGGAACAATATTTAATCATTTCCACGAGATTTGAACCCAGGATCTCTAGAGATTAATGCTATTCTTGGAAAAGCGTTTAATGATCGGGCTACTGACACTCTCAATATTTAATTTATTATTTATAATTTTCCTTTAGGATTAGACGTTAATTCAATATAAGGAACACTTGCCTTAACATAGGCCAAAGAGTGACATCAATTGTCTTAAGTAATTAAAGTTTTTAACATGCTTATGAAATTTATAAAGAAATTCGCTTGTGGCCCTGTGGCGAAATGGTTGCGAAGTATCGCAATAATCAACGAGTCCTGGATTTGATCCCTATCGGGTCTAACGTGTTTGGTAGGTTTTGGTAGGAATATCGGATATCCGGATCACGAACCGTTGTCCACGCACGTGAAAAGGCCCAGAAGATTAATCTTGTTACGGTTTCAATCCGGGGATTTTCCAATATCTAACGTTAATATAGGTCGACATCGCATCTTGTTGAGATGTTTTATGGCTCGGGTATTTCACGTAGCATAAAGTGAACCCTTGGCTGTTCTCCTCTATCATAAGAAATATATAAATAATGGTAGATAATATTTACTGAAAACGTTAAAAATACGTACGCAAAGTGCCTCGTTATTACTTCTGCACCGGACTTCTGACTTTTTTCCGCGATATCATGAATAATGCGCAAAGTTGTTGGAAGAATTCACAAGCGAATCCTAAAGCTAATATCGCTTGAATGTTATGTTCGAAGTACAGTGTTTGGATTTACAATTTGAAATTTATTTTCTTTCTACTTAGCGACTGCGCTTTAATTGAATTCACTAGACCGGAAAGATGAAGAATAATGGCCTAGACATCTACTGCATTTCGGACAATAACCATTTAGAAAAACGTATGTATTTTATTGCATTAGGAAGAATGACCTTTGTGAATTGGAAACAAATTGTATGTTTGTAGTAGAATGGCATTACAAATTTCTTTAAATGCTTTTATTCTCATTTAATAGCTTCATTAATGTTTAATCAAATAACTACTAAGCCACTGCAACGATCAATTCAAATTACAGATATTTTTACTGGTATGCACTGTTTTAGGGTATCATATACTTTGAATTACCTAGGTAATTATTTAAATTTGTGTACAGATTCTAACAACACGAAAATCGGACTTTAAACAAAACACATTAACCGTTTAGACGCGAAATGTAACTAAACTTATTTACAATTTTGTTCAACTACGGCCCATCGTGTCGGATGCTTTGCAGCAGTCACGCGTTTTAATACGTTAAAAGTGTATTATTTAAGTTAGTACTAATCGCGTAAACGAACTAATGCAAAATATGAGATGTAAGCAATTCTATCAAAGCATTTGATATTTACATTTTCGTATAATATTAATTTTATATAGATTTGATGAAAACTTACCAACGGTAATCAGATTCCTAAATATGAATAGATCGCTATAATTCCGTCTTTGGCGAGAAGCCATGTGCTGAGTACCCTATTGTGACGTTACAATTACTAGCTGTGCTCGCGACTTGGCCCGCGTAGAGTACTTATTTTGGGTATTAAAATTGTCTTTTTGCAAACCTCCTCATCTTGTTTTTTGTAGCTGTTACCCAAGACGTCATCCGTGTTCCATCGTTCGTGCGAGCTAATCTTAAAAGATAAACAGTAGTGTCGCGGACATATTTTAGATTATTTAATGAGGAATCATTCCCCTCTTTTTCCACATTTCCCTCCGTTTCTTCGCTTTTGGTCGCAGCGTAGTTTTATAGCCTAAAGTCTTCCTCGATAAATGCTTTAATCAACACAAAATATAATTCAAATTCGAACCAGTAGTTCCTGAGATTAGAGCGTACAAACAAACAAATTCTTCAGCTTTATATTAGTGTAGATCTTGGTATCTGTAACTAATGTTGTTTTAGCTCATACAAGTCTAAATTTGTAACTTGATTCACAGTTAAATTTGTCAGAACGCTGCTGTTATTTATCGCCTATATGGAGTTTTCGGAATGTTCCGAATAGAAAATAAAATTGGAATCGTAAAATAGACCAGATTTTTATTTGGCTTTAAATTCCATGAATAACATTTTTAGCCGCTGGAACGATAAATAAAGGATGCACAGCTATATAGACCAGTTTTAAACGAAAATCCACTGAATCGCAGACAAATTTAAATCCTTATATATTTACTATCCTACTATCGGGACTTAGACTATTTCGATTCTAAAGAGTTTTTACGCGCCTTTTATTTGCGTATACAATATAATAAGATCAAATAAAATGTTTCTAAGTATTTTCTGTGGTGCAATGGTACGGCTGTTAACCAACGGGTCGTGGGTTCCACCCCCACCGGGTCCAACATTTTTTGAATAAATTTAGAAGTTTTCTAAGTTAGACTTCGTCTGAAAATCTGGGGTTCCTCAGCTACCATAAAGAGTCATCTACTAGTTAAAGTAAATTGTAAATAATTTAATTCATATATATTCCGTACTGTAAAAAAACGTTTTATTTAAAATGTTACCACCCAGTAAATTCGAGATATTAATATTAATACTGTTTTCTCATTGTTCCAGGACGAAAGGTTCAACCACGACATTGACCAGCAAACGGGCTACAAGACGCGTTCACTTCTTTGCATGCCAATTAAGGACATCAATGGAGAGGTCATTGGTGTCGCCCAGGTGTGTATGTTACAAGGACTTCCACAGAACACAAATTAAACCAGAAGGGGTATTTAATACGCTGTCTGTAACGCTTACCTTGTCCATTAGTATTAAGTGAAATTAATTGGAAATGTCCAGACAACCGATGACAGATTAAATGTTTTTTTGACGCGTTCTTTGTTGTAATTCAAGCAACGGGTCGCAGGTTCGATCCCCACCGGTCCACATGTTTCTAATGAATTTATAATTTTACTGAACCGTATTGTACTTAGTATATAATCTAATATTAATTTTGTGGTCAATAATTAAGCCTTGATTATTATAATTAATCACTTTCAGACTGCGGATTTCTAAATATCCTAAGCCAAACTATTGTTGTTCTGGGGTTATTTCATATTTCAGCAAGTGAAGTTAATATTTGATACTTCTAATCTCTCTCCTTTATTCTAAAAATAAACATTTATGCAGCAACAAGTATTCACAAGACTGAGAGAATTAATTAATGTATTTATTTGATGGAAAAATATGATCAAAATGTCTCCATTTTGAGTGTTGCAAAAGGCCTCAATGCATGGACGGTTCCCACTGTCAATCTGTATTCTGTGGTCTTTGTGTGCAACTGCATTGAAAATGTATAAGTATTATTCACGGTTCTTCGTTCTTTTTTATGTGTTATCGGAACAAATTTGCCCCATTCACCCAATTCAGAAAAAGTTCAAATAGATAGAAGTTCAATTGCGGAACGTTATCTAACACCTTTCCATTTCGGTTTTTCGCCGAAAATATACCGAAGAGAGTTACACGAAGTTTAACGGGCCTTACGAAGTTATAGGCACTTAAATCGACACGAAGAATTTTAGATTGCTTCGCTCGTCGTTAGGTGTAACCATGTAAATTCAAATTTGTTCTTTCTATTAGCTTTTTTGTGTATTTCAAAAAAAACACAAAATTAAGGCAAAGCCGAGGGTTTCAAAAGTCTTGTCATTTATTTTTTTCTAGAAGGTTACAAAAATAATTAGTTCCATTTTTAACTTCATTCGTGCGTTTAAATAAAACACTTTAACGGTTTAAAACGCGATATATTAGTTAAACTTATTTGAAAATTATTTTTAACTTCGGCCTGACGTTTCTCCAGACTTGACTTTCTCGAGACTCTCTGGGGAGACTGTCTATACATCGCGTTTTATACCGTTAAAGTGTTTTATTTAAATGTGTACTACTCGCGTAAACTATAGACAGTATTTCATTCGTGTGTACGAGTAAGTTTTCGCAGTTTAAAACTACAAACAATTTGTGGGTAGATTTACATTTCACATCAAAACAGCGCATATTGGAACTTCTGAGAATCCATAATAGTCCATGCTTTTATCTTAATTGTCCCAAAATTATATGGATGTTGCCAGGAAGGGCGTTAACGCAAGAACTAACTAACATTTTCGTATAATAATACAATATGTATAAGCAATCATACGTGCCTTTTTTATTAAGATTTATAAGTTTACCTCGTTCCAGGTGATAAACAAACAGAACGACGGACCGTTTACGTCATACGACGAAAAGGTTTTCTCGTCCTACCTTCAGTTTTGCGGAATCGGCTTACGGAACGCACAGCTCTATGAAAGGTCGCAGCTGGAAGTCAAGAGGAACCAGGTGCTTCTAGACTTGGCGAGGATGGTCTTCGAGGAGCAGAGCACGATAGAACACATGGTTCTGAGGATATTGACCCACACGCAGAGTCTGATACGGTGTCAAAGGGTACAGGTAAGTCAAAATTTCAATCCACGGTTTTGAGTGATTTTTTGTATTTGAGGTCAAATGTAATTTAGCTCTAGCTACGAATGTGTTACAGTTAGAATAATCTATATTAAACTGTACTGAAAACTAATAAATTTAACTAAATATAATATCTAAATAAAACACTTTAACGGTTTAAAACGCGATATATTAGTTGTAACTATTATAACTAATATATCGCGTTAATATTTAAATGTGTACTACTCGCGTAAACTATAGACAGTATTTAAATAAAATATCTTCATAAATGTAATGTAGTTCCTCCTTTTTTTTAAATTAATTAATGAAAAAAGATACGGAGCAGCTGCCGGCGCTTGTTGCACGTGAAAGCAATAAAACTCGATATGGGGATGCAAAAATATTGCCAGCGAAATATTATTTGATGACAGTGTATGAAATGGAATTTGGCTTCAAAATAACGCTTAAATAAAACAAGTTCCTATGAATAAAGCTTTTTCTTCAGATCGAATCGATTATAAACAAAAAAAAAATGCACGACAGGGGCAGGACTTGAACCGGCAACCACACAGGCACGGTACTAATCAACACGGTAGCTCCATTGATTAGAGAAACAGCACCAAACGCTGTCGATGCCGATTCAAGTCCGGCCTGTGTCATGAATTTTTATCAATTTTAAATCGATCTCTAATTTATATAATGCTATCATGTACAACGTATGAAAATATATACGTTTTCAACATTTATTCACTTGTTTTTCTGTGTATATGATCGAAATTATTTATTATCCCCTAGAATCCGAACCTTGGACCTGGCTTTCCTACGTGACGTTAAATCATTGATTAACGGGGTGGACTACTATAGACTGATAGATAACATTTGAAACATCGGAAAATTATGTAAAATAATTTTTCGCGGATAAACAGTTGGAACTTCAAATATAAAGCCTCGCTGCCAGTACATACGCTCGGGTTAAATTAATTTAGTGTTGATTAAAAGGTTTTTACATTAAATGAGAGCTATTAATTATGAAACACGTGTTTGCGGCAACTGTAAAATCGCTTATAAGCACCTAATGCGTAATTACGTTGCATTTTGTTTAATTGGAGCGGCATGTACGACACGCTTTGATTGTACACTTTTATTGCTTATTCGATTGTATTTTACACGTGCTGGTGCAGCCTACAACGTCACTACGTACTGATAACATATATTACAAAACAGTTATAATAATCAACAAGGACTAATAATGATATCGCGTTTTAAACCGTTAGATTCATTAAAATGTGTACTACTCGCGTAAACTACAGACAGTATTCAAGTAAGGACTAATTTGACGGGCTCGCAGGCAAAGTATGATAAATAATCTAAGTGAGTTTGATTTTATTGGATCCAACTTTTAAGTTAAAATCCAAGTTAAATATTTCAGCCATATAATATTTTTATAAAATGCGCTGTCGATCTATTTCGGTTTTGGATATTCGGAAACTCACAAACTTAACGGATATACATTTAAATTTTATTTGAAAATATTAATATTGCACATGAAGGCACTATATAATTTAAAAATCGAAAATAAATTGAAAAGATTTTCGACGTCGAATTATTTTTTAACTTATTTTCGATTTTTTAATTAAATTTTATTTTTCACTTGTAGATGGGCTCGTGACTTAGACGTATTTTTGATAACACCTATTCAGATTTCCAGACGAACTCTATGTTTTATAATTTATAAAAAAATATTAAAAATTTGTTCGACTCGGTGGAGATCAAACAGTCATTGCTATGACTACACCATGTTACATGGCTTGGTCATTGACCTTCTATCAAGTGAAAGTTAAAAAAAACATATTTTACTAAATTTCTATCGATAATATAATAATCATCATAGATAATAAATTTTATACTTATTAAATATATCGATATTATCTGGTAGACGTGCGAAGTAAATTATTATCTGTTAAGTGCCTTTGCGTATACACTTCTGTAGTCTATAATTCTAAAGAAGCCGATATCTGTAAGTGCGAATCGCTGGATTGTTAAGGCATTGGTTACATAATTATATTTGATAATGATTATAAAATCTATGAAAAACAGAAGCAACTCAGTACTTCTAATGTATTTAAAACTTTAACAACATATATATTAGTGTGGTCGGGGATAGACTCAGTTATTAGTTAAAATCGATTAAGAATTACAACACGGGCAGGACTTGAAACGGAATTGACAGCGTTCCGTGCTGGTGCTCAAGCCAATTGAGCTACAGTGTCAGTTATTACTAAACTAATAGACGTGCACCCTGTGGCTACGGCTGCTGCAAATTATCCAAAACGACGTAGTTAAAATAATGTTTTAATAAGATTAACATTTCGCGTTTTAAACCGTTAAGTGTTTTATTTATATATGTTATTATTATAACAAAATTAATTAAACTAATTGTAATAATGTAGTATTGTATTTCGCGTCATTAATTTCGTTAATTGACCGACGATATAACCCGGGCTTAATTTGCGTGTCACTAGTCCGACACTGCGTCGCCGGTAAATTCTATTTAATAGAAGCTGTAATAACTACATAGTAGCCGGCCGATAGGCGCCAGCGCCGACTGTATCGAGATTATCGACAAGTGAGTGCTAATTAATATTTAGTCTGCGCTCAGATGTGACAAGATAAGACGCGGCGGGCGCATTCAAATTACAATGGATGCAATGTGCATGTACATCAATCATTAAATATTTTTAGGATAGAGGAGGACAGACGAGCACTTGATGGCAGGTAAAATAGTCCAGCCATATAACATCTCAACAATGGGCTGTCGGCGTATTTTGGCCTTTTAGATATTCACATACTGACACCTAAATGCGATGTAACTACGCGGCTATTTCAAAAATTTTTATTATGCCAACGAGCCCAGCAAACTATTATATCTTTATAATTTGAATACATACTATTGTTCCAACGAAATGGCAGTGAGCGACAGAGATAACACTCTTCGGTATCAAACCGTCAGCTGTCTCTGTCTAAAGGCACACAAACTCAAAGACTAACTTAATAATATCTTTGTATCGTTTCATACTATAAAACTGCCAATAATGGAAAATTTCCACAATTTTATGTTAATTTCCATGTTCTTGTACGCTTGTATTTATTAAATTCCACTATTGATAATGATAATTATTGATAATGTATTCGTTGGTGGCGTATTTTTTGTGAATTTATAGAACGCTATATTATACATATGTTTACCTTCTTTATGTATAATTCAGATATTCAAAACTTAAGTGCATTTACCCTACCTAATAAGTATAATTCTAGTAAATTAATAAATAAAAGGTTAGCTATATAAAAAATGGTAGGGCACCCGCCATAAAAAAATATAATAATTGTACCGTTTAAAACACAATTTATATTTATATAATATATAGTTACGTAAACATATTATACAAACTTTATATAATTTTTATACTCTACTATGTTGATATTCTGCGTTTCTAACGGTTAAAGGTTATTTTATTCAATATCTTCTAACAAAGTCAAAAATCATAGTCACATTTAGTACCCATGTAACTAAATGATTTTTACCTACAAACGTCACATCAGTCAAACACTAAAGACTATTAAATTTACGTAAATTAATTAAATTTATTTAAATTCGTCACGTACTTAGGTGTACTACGTATGTTTTATATTAGTGCGAGTTTCTCCAGACACCATTTTTTATAAAGTTTAATTAACTTTATCATTTCCCCTTCCAAGCAGTTTTTGTTTAACATAATATTAAAGCTGTTTAATGACAGTGCTTGCATTTTACTGGGGATTTTTAAAAATATCGTTATGCGTTAAAGGACTTGAACTAACATCAACAGCGTTCCGGGCTGTCAGGCTAACCAATTGAGTTACTGTGTCTTACACGTCATCATCGAATATTTTTAACCTAATCATACATGCACCTCACGTAGTGTAATTTCAACTTTAAAAGTGACTGGCTAAGGTTCAATGTCTCATGCTTTGCTTAAGAAAATCATTGCAGATGAAATTACAGAGTTGAATGCGTATTTAATATTTTTCATATGTGAAAAACATTTAAGTCTAACAAAATCATATTGAACCAGTATTAGATGAGAATACTTTAAGCGCACAATCTTCGTTCGTATAATAGGAAATACGTATACATAGCTTCGCCATGACATCGCGTCTGAAAAAGTCAATTTTTTAAGTTGGTTTGGCACTATCGCTTGGCTGTTTCCCATTCAGTAGTGGCTGCAACAATGTACGGACGGAGTCATTGGAACGCCGCCAACTCTTCACGATTGAGATATACGACGCAATGAAAATACAGGCTTAGATCTTGTATTGGTTCCCCTGTTATGTACTTCTGAGCGAAACTTGGCTCAGGTGGCCATAGTCAATTTCAGCACAGAAGCTGTTGGCTTTAGTACCATAATAAAGTATTTGTGGAAATATTAATTGTAATAAGTACATCGTAGTTTACGTTCGTACACATTTAAAAGAAACTCTTTTAACGGTTTAAAACGCTCGTACCCCCGTGACATAGCTGCTGCACCCGAATCGTAGTTACAAATATATTTCCCGTTTTAAACAGTTAAAAGTATGTACTGTCTGTAAGTAGTTTACGCGAGTAGTAAACATTTAATTAAAACACCGGTTGAAATTACGCAATGTTTTAGTAAGTAACTCGTTTACAATTTATATAATTGAGTTAAAGTATTTTGTTTAACTGTGGTATTGTTAATTTAATATTCATCAAGATTTAAATTCGATAATTTTTCCCATTTAATAAAAAATATTTCTGACTTCTTGTTTGAGGTAAATTATGATTATAGTGTTTACGCAACATTAAGTAAAAAATACTGGTATTCGTAATATATTCCTAAATAGTATTTATACATGGTAACCTCATGACGAGCGGAAATTTTGTATTTTTATGTTGGCGGGCAAATTTTCAATTTAAATTTCCTTCTGTGCTAACTGGAATTGCAAATAAGTCTCCGAATGTAATATTTCCCGCCCAATTCATTCAGCGCGAAGTTCCCGGAAGTGACAGAAAACTTAATATATTAAACTCAACGGGTCGTCGTCGTTCTTAAATCATTTTTTTATATACACCAGACTTCGAATGGATAGTAAATAGCTAGAAGGAATATAGAAATTCCATCCGGGTTACGAACCACCGTCCACAGATGAAAAGACCGTGTGAAGTGTAGTCGTGTTTCGCATTCAGTGTGTGGACTTTGGCTGTCCAGAACGTACGGTGGTTGACAAAGTATCTTTGTGGTTAAAACATTTTTAAATTGTTTAAAACGCGAAAGTATATCAGTTTCTATACATATTATAACATTTTTGGAAGTCTCTTCGTGACGGTTGCTTCAAAGCATCTGAATTTAAAAATAAGTTGCCTCGTAAATTTTGCGTATGAATCCGTTTAAAGTGTTGAAATGCGTAGTAATTGCGTTAACTGCAGTGACAAAGTATTGCTTATGTAGCTGGAGTATTTCACATTCCGTCAAGGGAATCCCATCGGTTCTCTTTGTCTGCTATTAAGACTGGAAAGCATCGAACCATGGCTGATGGTATCGTGATTTGCATCGTGCGATGATCAAGTGTCGATGCGGTGGGCGCCAAGACAATGACGGCACACGATACTTGGTATTGAATAACTCGGTTAATCTGTTTATCGTTTACATAATAAACCGTCAATATAAGCATTACACTCGCTTAGGGCGTAACTACACTGGCCTATCGTGCCTTTTCTCTTATTATATACTGGCTGTGTCAGCGACTGCGTCCGCGTAGAATAGATATTTTGCGCATTCAAATTTTTACAAACCTCCTTCATCTTTATAAATTGAATTGAATTGGACGCAACCTACGTCAGTTGCGTCCCGTCGTTCTTGCTAGTTAATTTTCAAAGATAGACATATAGTATCGTAGACATTTTTTATTATTATATTTTCTGGGTGTCTTGAACCTTGGATTTTGCAGTTTACACGTCGAAAATCCACAGAGATTTCTCGCTGTTTCTTTACTTATATCAGTCACAGCGCGATATTTGATAGCCTATAGCCTTCCTGGAGAAAAGTTCTAACCAAAAAAAATATTTTTTGTCAATTCGCATCATTACTTCCTGAGATCAGCGCGTTCAAACAAACAAACAAACCCTTCAGCTTTATATATTAGTATAGATTCTTGACTTCTCTTTTGCTCAGTCTGCACCGCTATCCATTTACCGAATTCCTAACTCTCACTGTGTCCCGTCAAACGTTGCTGTTTTAGAAAATTTTATCCGTGACAAGTTTGTCTATCCATCATTCCAGGAACACTTGCTGGATTTGGATACCGTGAAAACAATAGAATAGTTTTAACTTATTTTATTTCATCTACCAACTTTTCAGGTATTATCAGTACCTTATTTTAAATTTACTGCGGTGTTTATATGTAAAATGCTGAAAATTTAAAACACGTGTGATAATTAACCTTTTGGCTTTAGTTAGCGAAAGGCGTGGCTATGCAGGATTTCCGGATAAAAGGGATTTTCTGTACTCATTAAACGACTAAGCGCTGACGCGTTTCACTTATGAAGCCTTTTCCCGTATTGTTAATTAATTCCGATGTATGGAAAAACATGGAAAATTCCCATGGGAAATTGAATGGCTTTGCGTGAGGTACGCTTACATTTTGCCACTCTCTCAATCCCTTACAGTGCTCGTAAATTGAAAATATTGTTTTTCATTAAAGTTGAAAATGAAAACTCATTGGCGGTGAGGTTCGAAAACTGTTTCCCTTCATAAATAAACAAATTAGGAAGGCGATTAAAAGCAACTGTCGGAAATTTGAAGTAGCTTTAAATTCTCGAGATTACGAGGAGAAAATGATGTCCTGAAATAAATGTGAACTTGGTGTAAACTGGTGTCTGTAATTATAGTTATTGCTATTGCTGTTGAAATAATATTAAGTTTTTTTTATTTTATCTTTTACTTCCTTTGTCCAAATGGTAATAAATTTTTTAAGAATGTGGTACTGAATGAAATCCATTAAGAAGAGACTTCTTTTTAATAAGGAAATAATTTGATTTGTCTGTAAGGCCAAAATATCCTAGTACATTTTCCTTCTTTTAACCTTAAACAGTTTATTTTAAAAAGCGTCAATCAAATGGAATACTTAGAGCACTAACATAGAAGTAAAAACAAACAACTGTAGACGCGAAAGATCATTTTTAGGGAATTAAATGTTGAAATAAGACACTTTAACGGTTTAAATTAAACAGTTAAACTTATTTTTTAATTATTTTAACTATTGCCTGATGTTTCGTTATATTACTGACAGTATTGAATTCAATGATTTCCTCGTGTCATATTTGTAGACCCAGCAAATTTGCTTGTCTTTAAACATTACAATGCAGTTGCGTCACAGTTTGTCAGCAATTTCTGCTATACTAATATTCGATATTTCTATTTTAAAGCGTAAAAGGCGAGAGGGAAATCTCGTAGCCATTGAGGTTTCGACAGCACCAGAAATAGGCTTCGGCTATATACGGCGCAGTCCAATATAGTTTCCATTCAGTGTTAAATTTCAAAGGCTTCACAATTTTCTTTGTAAGCAGTTTAGGAATCTAGGTTATGTAAACTATAATATAAATGCGTAGGTACTACCTCTATTCAACGTCCCTTACTTGAAAATATTCCTTATTTGAAAATATTAAAATTTTGTTTGGTTTTTTGAAAAATTATTTGTGTTGGTTAGAACATTTATCGAGGAAGTCTTTAGGCTGTAACTAATAGCGGGAAATGTGAGTAAAAACGGGGCAAATTTAGATGCCTAAAATATCTATTGTACGCGGACGTAGTCGCTGACACATCTAATAATTATAATATATGTTAGAGATGGGCCGACTCGCTTGATATTCGGTACTCGGCGTACTCCGGGGGTTTTTGATATTCGAGTATACGTTGTTTAAGAATAGCAATATATATTTAGGTAAATATAATTAAAACAACAGTGTTAATCCAAAAGTATTTATTTGTAGCAGTCTGATCAAAATGAAGTTTGGTCTTTACTACAAAAATACTAAGCCAATTTTGAGGAACCGCACGGAACGTTATTTACTTACCCCTACTAATAGTGAATATCAAGTTAATGTTTGTTTAGATTTTATTAAAGTTAACTTATGTTATTTATTCGTTTACTCCATCTAATGGCGTTTATTTCCAATTAATGCAACACAAAAAAGTTCAGTGAATCTTATTTTACATTGGATCTTTGAAATTTTCCATCCGAGTATAATTGCGAATGATATTAACAATGTTGAAATTGTTTCTTTTTATTCCACCATGACACATGACGTAAGTTCATTCGGAGGAAAACATTTTCTCAAGAAATATTTATTGGACGATGTCCAAGAAAAAATAATTGCGGAAGAATGAAGGAGAGGAATCGAGAGAAATCCCTTTAATGGTGAAATTATTTTCTGCTACCATTCACGCAGTATTCGGTTACTAACTGGTGTTATTGATTTATTTTGTTTTGCATATTCATGTTGTATACGTGTAATGTTTCGTGAGGAACTGCTTAAATGTAGTATTATTCGTTGGGTAACAACAGCCTACAGCCCGACGTTATGCTTTGCAGCAGCCGTCACCGTGGTAAATAAGGTGACCAAAATATTTTGCGTTTGAAACCTTTTAAGTTTTACGCATAAACTACTGAAAATACAGTTTTATTGACCTACGAATTTAATAAAGAAATTGTTAAGCTTAGACCGCCCCTGAAGCCATATTGTTAAACGTGTTGCCTAGCATTGCATTCTTGGGTTCGATTCCTGGAGAAACAATATGTTGTTTCGGTCGGGCACAACCTCCACCTAACAATTAGCCTCTGAAAATAACTGGCCACTGAAAAAGAAACAATGATGTGTTTGCCCCATGCCCCACGAGGGAGAAATTCTATCTTAAGTCTATGCGAATTATTATTCGAAGTCAAAATATTTTTCTGACTCAAAAACATGTTCATATAATAATTCGCCTTTTAACTGTTGTTTTAACATGCTACAGTAATCAATTTACCCCAAGTCCCAATTACAAGCCGTTGTTTGACGAATTAAATCAAATTTTAATTTCGCCAATATTATACAGTCATCGCAGATAATACTCATTAATATTCATAGTCTAATTTTCAGTAAAACGCGTTTAATATGTGTGCTTATCGATTTCGACTAAATGAGAAATAATAGCGTTGTTTAATTTATACTAGCTTTAGCATGCGACTTCGTCGAAAAGGAACGTGACATTTGATAGTATGTTTAGAGTCAAAGTTAAATTATTCACGAACTGGCAATAAACTCGCCGTCACTCCTTTTATCGCAAAGTTTAATTTTACATGGCGTTACTTAGTAGCATAAGTATTTTTCGAGTTAACATTAAAGGTAAAATTTTAATGCAATAGAAATTGTTTGATAAACAGATAAATATCCAAAGACCATTTTTATGCTGTTTTGTCCAAGACAATTTTCAGCCACTGTCGAGTTGTAAATATGTAATAATAAAACGTGGGGCTGTAGTTAAAGTACATTTTAAATAAGTTAACTAATATATTTCGCGTTTAAAACCGTTAAATGTTTTATATAAAGGATAATTAGATTTTTTATTGTTTATGGGATTTAAACCCTCCCGTGGAAGACAACGCAATATCACAGACATATATTATAGTAAGATGAATTGTGAAATTACATGTTAAAAATCTATTTAAATAAAAAAAATACTGCCCGGGCGGGTGTTGAACTGGTATCCACAGCGTTCCGTGCTGCTGCTCTAACCAATTGACCTACAGTGTCTTCCACGTCATCGTCGATTATATTTAACCCAAAGAAATATTTTATTTATTATTATTTTTTAATTTACTATTTAGAACTATTATTTTTGGGAAAGCTAACAAAGGAAACTAAGAAAAGTGTTTTTCCATTTTCACAGGTGCTACTAGTCCATGAAGCTTCAAAGGGCAGCTTCTCCCGGGTCTTTGACTTGGAAGCTGGCGATGATGAAGAACCGGGGACCCCCCGGACCTCACCTTACGAGAGCAGATTTCCTATCAACATTGGTATCACTGGTTATGTGGCTACTACAGGAGAGGTAAGCCAAGAAGCCAATAAATAAATATATATATGATGGTTACTTAGTATATTATTTCATACACAGGTATATATGTATACCTATATAGTGAAGTAAATTTTTACTTTAAACTGCGTTAAATATATTGCACGTTTAAATAAAACACTTTAGCGGTTTAAAACGCGATATATATTAGTTAAACTTATTAAAAAAATATTTTTAACTTTGGCCCAACGTCTCCCCGTAGCCACGGCAGCTGCAAAGCATCCGAAGCGTTAGTATTTAAATGTGTACTACTCGCGTAAACTACAGACAGCGTTTTGCACGTTTTTATGTTAGATAAAAACACACATAACATCTAAACTAAATGCGTTGTCGACCTATTATGGCTTTAGATATTCGGAAATCCACTGACTGAATGGTAGCTCGTGACCCGGACGGAAATTCGATATACCTACCACCCATTGAACATCCAGATTTCAAGAAGTGACCATGTTTCAGAAAATAATAAATTGAATTGAAATATGTTAGTCCCCGTGGGGATCGAACCTAGGATTGTTGTTTATTAGTCATACATTGGTACATTGGACCAATCAGTCCTTCAAATATGAAAACATACAGTACCTTAGATAAGACTTGTCCATAATAGTGAATCACCATATTGTTATGCTATATATATTCTATTATATTATAGCGTATAGTCTGAAAAGAGCTTTATATAACTTTATGTAATAGAGTTTCCTTGAATATTAAGCTACTCTACTGCGCAGCAGCTGTAATATTCCTATCAAAAATATTATCTCTGCATAAATTATAATTTGGTGCTTGGCTTCTCGTTTCGTATTATCTGTAGTTTAAGAGAGTCGTATATGTTTAAATAAAACACTTTTAACGGTTATAAACATGAAATGTTTTAAAAATATAATCCTAGTTCCTTATTGCATGGGGTGAAAATTGTTGTGTTTAACTGATCCTTTTTTTTCAAGCAAGTAATTGATCAGACTTTTGTGCCCTAAGAGCCTTACAGCCGTACAGCCTTGTGACCGAAACAGATTGGGTTCGAACCCCCCCAGGGATTCCCCCCGGACCTCCTCCCGGATTCGAACCCAGGATTTCTCGTGCTTAATGCAATGCAACACATATAATAACTTTTACCGACTTAAAAAAGTAGGAGCACAATTAGTAAAAATAATCTTAATAATTCTTGAATTTAAATATGTTTTTATTGTATTTTGCTAAAAGTTAACTTTAAAGCATGATTCGTCGAGAATGCAAAACGTGACTATAGTTGTAAATAGCTGTTGTTATTAAATAACAAGGTTTTTTTATATTACTTTCCGATAAGCATCGCAATGAACCGTGTATCAAAACTTGGATGTCAAGGACTGCCAAGTCTAGTAGATTACGGAATTCAATTATAAAATGACTGGCGATAAAGGTATTTTAATATTTTGTGCCGACCGCCTCCATTGTTTATATGCGTTGCCTAGAGTAAGCATGAGAGATAGGTTCAAATCCAGGTAAAACAATAAATTGTTTCGGTTGATCAGGGCATAGAAATCTGAAATACTCAACTGTAAATAAAATTAATTAGTGAAACGGACCAAAAATGTGAACGCCCCGTACCCCACAGTTGGGGATTTCTCTTTTTCAGAACAACAGAACTACCTGCCTAGTTGAATGTTTAAACGTGTTGCGTTGCGTTAAGCATAGACCTTGGGTTTGAATCCCGGGGAAACAACAGATTGTTTCGGTCTTGCAGGGCGCAGATGTCTTCTTGCCTGTAAAAGAACCGATCATTGAAACGGACACAGAAATGTGTTCGACCCATGCCCAACAGTTGAAAACAGAATATCTCTTGTATTCATTGTGTACAACCAACGCCGTTTTTTTTTCTATATAGGTTAATAATTACTCTAAAAAAATTTAGATACAACGGAAAAGAGGTTTGTTTATACTAAAAAGCTATATAGGATTCTCGTCTCAGCACATTGAGACATAAATTGGACATTGTACTATTTTGACGTCCATAAAATTAATCAAGCCACCTAATTTGCCCTCGTACTTTATTAAGCGTCAAATCGCCGTCCCAAAAACCCACTCGTCACTTCTTGACCCCATTTAATTTTTGATTTAGTACGATTTGCTTCACAGACGGTGAACATCCCGGACGCTTATATGGACCCTCGCTTCGACCCTTCCGTGGACGAGGGTGCAGGCTTCAAACACAACACCATTTTGTGTATGGCCATCAAGAATTCAGAGGGACAGATTATTGGAGTTATACAGGTAATTAAAATATTATTGCTTATGAAAGTTTAATTTTGAAGTAGTAGTAACTTTGGTTGCCCGCCTCTGAAGGCAAACAGATAAACGTGTTGCCTAACGATGCGTTAAGAGCGAGAGGGTCTCAGTTCAAATCCTGGGGAGCAAATACATTGTTTCGATCGGGCACGACGCAGAAGTTTAATCAACTACTTGTGTCTAATAAAACCGATCACGGGGAAATGGGATTTTAGACAAAGGTAATTTTGGGGTTAATCGTGGGTCCGGAATTTTGTCGCTATTTAAAAAATTAGATTAGGCTTATGAAATAAATATATATTAAAACCAATTTTACAGATCATAAGAATGTTTAAGTAATGTACGTTATAAATTAAAAATTGTATGTTATAAATTAAAAATTAATTTAAACAAAAAAAAAATGTGACACGGCCAGGACTTGAACCGGCATCCACAGCTTTCCGTGCTCGGTGTGTTGATAATTCTCCTAACTATATACTATAATTCTGATTCAATTTAAACATTATTAGCTCTAATTTAAGATACTGAAAAATTAACATTTAGCTTTCTCTTGAATATTTTATAAATTTCCTTCTGGCGCTACCGCAACCAACAATATCAGTGTTTTAATAATGTATTTTATTCCGTTCTATTTGTTAGCTTTGAACGTGAAATATTGTTTCAGTAATTGCTTCAAAATCTTTGTAATAAATCACGAGGAGCTTTGCTCAGTATTAATTACCGTCAAAACAGTGTACAGATTTAAATAAGCTTTGACATCGACGTGAAAAGCGAAATATTGCGCCCTGAAACGTTAGTAATTAAATTCATTTTTGAAACAGTATTTAATATTTCAATAAACATTATTTGAAACGTATTTTTACGGAATCGAGTCTAGCTATAAATACTTTTAACATCGCTGAAATTCTGGTTTTCTAAACGTTTATTCGCAAATTGATCACCGGCGTACGGGGAAACGTGTGAAAATGTCACGTTTTTTTCATTATTTTTTCATTATTTTTTCCATATGTCCAAAACATAGAAACTAAAAAAAACACCGGCAGCTCACGCTAGTTCCAGTATATAGCAGGATGTAAAATTTTCTTAACATATTGTATAGGTTTACAAATGCTTACAGAAGCGGGACTCAAATCTGGGACACTCCCCATGCGTTCGAGCGATCAATTAAAAAATTAAATATGAAAACAGATAAGCATTTCACAGTAAGAACGTTCAAAAATGCGAGACTAAGGGACACGGTAGCTCGATTGGATAAAGTAACACGGAACGCTGTGGATGCCAGTAATTTTTTTTATTTAATTTTTAATTTGAGAACGTTTTAATCGAGGTGGAATTTTCTCAAATAAAGAAACGAATTAATTAAAAACTTCGCCAAAGCAAGTGTTCTGGCGATGTCACTTGCTCGTTTGCAAAAAAACGCGCGGAACATATTTATATGTTCGCGTAATTTCAGCGCTCTTGCGGGCGTCCCGAGCACACTCCTAATAACGCTAGTGAAATTAATAAAAAATTCACACTCGGCTTGTACGAAATGCCGGGATAACATTGCGCATTGCGGTTGTCTGCGTAATGCGACAGAATAAAGGATTCAACAAATGTACAACATTGTTGAGATCACTCGTTATGAATTTAGCTCGGTATATCCCGGTTACAACATAATTACTTTGACGGTCGTTTATTCTGCGGAATTGTTATGGCCGGTTCATATCGTTCAAATTAACTTACTAATTTTATAAAGGTATAAGGTTCAGACGCACTAGTTTTAGGAACTACTGGTTCGAATTGAGAAGTTCTTCTGGTGTTGGATGGACCATTTATCGACGAAGGCTTTAGGCTATTTATAACATCACTCTTATTCGTGTGAAGAAACAGTGGAATAAATAAAAATAAAAACGGAGGTTTTTTAGCTTTGAGGGCTTTCATTGCGTGCGTTGCGAAAAGAAATTTAAGTATATTATTCTTCTTTAAATCATCAAAAAAATGTCTATACAATAATATAATATATCAATGTTTTAAGAACGCAAGAACCGTTTCTATAGCAATTAAATTTGGTCGAAATTAAGGCATTGTTACGATTTATTTGGTAATGTTGCACCAACATAATATTAATCTTAAACGGTTTAAAACGCGATATATTAGTCTCCCCGTGAAAACAACGAAAAAAAAAACGCATAGTATCTGAAACGTCGGGCCGAAGTTAAAAATTATTTTCAAATAAGTTTAACTAATATATCGCGTTTTAAACCGTTAAAGTGTTTTATTTAAATGTGTACTACTCGCGTAAACTATAGACAGTATATAATATTAATCTTGTAAACAACAAAACGTTTCCCGGATCAGCTACTATTCATAGAAATTATGTTAATTGTGCACTTGACTTTCAAAGCTCAAAAGATTGTTTCTTTGAACGCACTAATCTCAGGAACTACTGGATGAAAATGAAAAATTATTTTTCTGTTGAGTAGAGCTTAGAGTTTATCCAGGAAGGCTATAGGCTCAAATATAAAAACACGCTGTGACTAATAGGAGTGAAAAAACAGCGGGGAATATTATTCATCCTCGTGGGTTTTTCTTGCATACGCTGCGAAAACGGTTCAGGATACCCAAAAAATATTAAATTATTCCTACCAAGAACGACGAGGCCACGGACGTTGTGTGTAACAGCTTAAATTTATAACGATGAAGAGGAGATTCGCAAAGACGAATTTGGATGCCAAAATTTACATGTCCACGCAGTCAAAGTCACTGACTCAGCTAGCTAGTTATAAAGCGGTTTTAGCTAAAATAGATTTGGGCGTGTCTTGCGAATGTGTATAGATAGGGCAATGTTTGTAATTCCTTTGAAATTCTATTGTAGTCTTTCACTCTTGCAACGAAGTAACCTGCCTGTAATGCACTTCCAATGTTTCAAGAATGCACAGCCTCGCTGCTTACAGAATTACTTATATCCAGTTTGCTGTATCGACAGGCGACTTTGTTCAAAGAATGGACATTTTCCAGGGAATTGTACTGGGAGACACGCGGTCTCTAACATGTGACACTTTTATTAAATTTTCCATCTGTGTTCGGAAATGGATGGTGAATTATTACGTGGATCTGGAGCAAGTGGACTCGTGAAGGAATCATTCAGACAGAAATTGTAATAGATGAGACTAAGTCATTGCCAAGTCCGTCCGACTACCCGCACCAACCGCGTACACTGAACATTTTAGACCGCTACCTGAAGAACACCCCATCTTTGATGGTTCAAAACAGTTCTGTTTTTTATCGAGTATTTTCGGTACGAAAACCTTCATATTTTTCACATGTTATTTATTGCACATGATGTCACTATATAAATAAAAAATCGAAAATCTCGGCGCGAGAGGTGCATAATATCGTTAGGTTGAAAAAAAATCGACGATGACGTGCAGGACACGGTAGCTCAATTGGTTAAAGCAACACCACGGGACGCTGTGGAGAGCGGTTCAAATCCTGACCGCGTCGTAAATTTCTATCATCTAAAATTGATTTTGAGTATTATCTGTAGTTAACGCAGTATATAGCAAATAAATGAATTTTTAACGGTTTAAAACCCGAAATATATCCGTTATAAGTCCTAAGAAATTTCGCGTTCGAAGCTTTTTATCAGTTTAAAAAACTCATGAAAGTTTTACTTCTCTCGTACATACGCTACGTTATAAATGGTGTGGGCGCTTCTGATTAGGCGGTCTATAAATAGAAAAGCGTTTTAATTAATTTAGAAAATTAAAAAGCTTTTCCTACTTAGATGTTTAATTAAGTTATGTGTTGGCGGTTTACTTAAGACTTGAATTACGTGTTACTGAAATGATAATTAGAAAAGATTTTCTTTATAATAACGAACTCCACACAAGCATATTGAGTTTTGATGGACAGTGAAATAAAGCCATATAACATGTCAACAAGTATCGTATTTTGGCTTCTGATATGCGAAAATCTACAGACTGAATATTCGATACGCGATGAAACGGCTTTTCCATCTGTGGACGGTGCATGATGCGGATGGAATTTTCGATTTTTGTACCCCCCATTTAATATCCAGATTTCCAAAAGTAGCCGTAAATGTTTCAGAACATGTTATATTGATGAGGAGCATGTTGGACCCAGTTGATTATTAGACCACCGACCCCGTCTGGTACTAACTGGAGCTGGGCAAAACCTAATGAAAATAAAAATAACTAGAATCCCAGAATCGAATAGAAAATTAGGCTACTTGAACCATTTATTGATTAAGTAAATACTTTTTCCAGCTTGTAAACAAATTTGACGACCTGCTCTTCACGAAGAACGACGAGAACTTCGTGGAAGCCTTCGCCATATTTTGCGGCATGGGCATCCACAATACGCACATGTACGAGAAAGCCATCACTGCCATGGCCAAGCAGAGTGTTACTCTAGATGTGAGTTTCTTTTTAAACTTTATAACCTTATATATATAAAATGGCTAAGAAGAAGAATAAGAGGACTGAGATAGCCATTTTAGAATTGCAACCATAGTCGCATTTTTAAATAAAACACTGTAACGGTTTAAAACGCGATATATTACTTAAACTTATTGAAAATGATTTTTAACTTTGGTCCGACGTTTCGGATGCTTTGCAGCAGCCATGGTCACGGGGAGACGTTTTAAACCGTTAAAGTGTTTTATTTAAATGTGTACTTCTCGCGTTAACTATTATAGACAGTATTATATAGACGCATTGTCTGAAGTTTACGCGAGTAACACATTTAAATAATACTTAACAGTTTGAAACCTAAAATATATTAGTTAATTGCTGCTGACAGCTTCTGCCAAAGCGTCTGAAGGATCGTGCCTTGAGTATATTTCTTCTGCGAAAATTGTAGCTATTTGTAGATTTTGATAACACTTTTATATTAAAATAAAATACTTTAGCCGCATATACAGCAGCCGTGGTGACTGGGGAACTAAAGATGGAGCATGTCCATGTCCCTGCTGTCTAAATCAAATCTGCTATGCTAGTGTCCGTAAAATGTTAAACCCGTTATGTGTTTTAAGTGTGTACTACTACCGTAAACGTGTACTACCGACCGCCTCTGTAGCCAAATTATTAGACGTATTGCCTAGCATTACGTTACGTGCGAGAGGTCCTGCGTTCGAATTCCAAGGAAACAAAAATTGTTTCGCTCGGGCAGGGCACATAGTCTGATCAACTACTTGCCTGTTAAAGAACGGATCAGTGAAACGGACACAGAAATGTGTTCGCCCCATGCCCCATGAGGGGGAAACTGGATGTCACACACTATCGTAAACTACTAAACTTTTCTATATATTATTAATAGTTTTTATTTGTTAGATGATACTAATTAGTTATTATGAATTACAGGTCCTAAGTTACCACGCATCTGCATCGATCGATGACGCTCAAAGGTTACGAGTAAGTACAATAACAGTTAATTAATAAAACATGTAATAGGCATTTTGAGGGTAGAACTAAATTAAATATATTTAATATGGCAATTGAGAGTAAAAAGTAACGCGTTACGCACTTCGCAAACTCTCTTTACAGGTGAGCGTTAGAAACTTTTACCAAAATATATCTATAACCTTCACATTATATTTTTGTTTCGGATGGCCCGACGTTTTGGATGCTTTGCATCAGCCCTGTTCACGAGGAGACTTTAGTTAAATTAATTTTCAAATAAGTTTATATCGCGTTTAAAACGGTTAAAGTGTGTTATGTAGATGTTGACTACTTGCGTAAACTACAGACAGAGGTAAATGCTGTATGTGGTATGTTTCTAATTGTTTTTTTTTAAACATGTTGTGCTTTGTCTGGAAATCTGGATGTAAGAATATCGATATTCCGCCCGGGTCACGAACCACTGTCCACAGATAAAAAATCAGTTTGTAGATTTCTGAACATTCAAAGCATAAATAGGTCGACAGCGTTGTTTAGGTTCTATATGGCTGAGGTATTTCATCTTGCGCCTAGTAAACCCTCTATCATAAAACAATATTTTAGATCTACCCACCTAGATCTTCTAGTTACGTCATATCATGAGTAAGAGGAAGGTACAACAAAACTTTGCCAGAGTCAGGGATGCAAAGTTATTAGATAATGTTACCACTTTAGTTCAACTGAAGTCTCAAAGGGCGTTTTAGAACAACTGTATTCACTGCAAAGGTTTTAGGTTCGTTTGGACCCTAATCAAATTAAGTGGACATTTAAACAACTCGAAAGAATCTAAAAATAACGGTCGAGTTCTTAAGTGTTAACAGGAAAGTTTTGCCCTTAGGTGGCTGGAATTAGGTTTCTCTTTTACTGATAATAAATGCGTGGGAATCGTTTTTCAACTTTTAAATTCAGTTTAAGAGCGCGGATCTAATTTTAAAATACCCTTACAAGTTAAACTTATTATAAAATGATTTTTAACTTCGGCTCGACGGAACAGATGTCGCTAGCGTAGCAGTTTTTTACTTTGACGTCAGAGACCTCCTCCATCTTTAGTCTTCCCGTGACCACGTCTGCTTAGACGTCGCGCCGAAGTTAAAAATCATTTTCTAATAAGTTTAACTAATACATCGCGTTTTAAACCGTTAGTGTTTTATTTAAATGTGTACTACTCGCGTAAACTATACACAGATAGTATTATATGTGTCTGCCCCTTAGGGGGAAACGGATTTTTTTCATACTACTTAAGCATAACATAAGAAACTTGTTTGTAAATTAGATTTAATTATAGTCTTATTTACAGTTGACAAGGCACCTTTAGTACAAAATGTTATAATCGGAGTTACGAGGTTCCAAATTCGGATCCTGGCTCAGATAAAATGTTACTGCAGTATTTGGTTTTTTTAATGAAATTTCTTGTTTAACTTGAGAGGTTGGAAGCAGGTGTCATAACACCACAAATTGCCGGTTGATACTATTAGATTAGTGCAGTAGTCGTGGCCTACCATCCCGTATTCATTTAGCGTGATGCGCTAAGCTGGTACCTAGCCCCAGCTGGCGCAAAATAGCTGGCTCAACTTGTTTGATTCGCTGTTATATTAATTCTTGTCTGTTCCAGAGCCTCCGAATACCATCATCAGCCCACTTCAGCCTGCACGAGCTGGCTTTCGACGACATCGACATGACAGACGACGACACCCTCCGCGCGTGTCTACGCATGTTCCTAGATCTCGACTTTGTCGAACGTTTCCACATAGATTACGGGGTGCTGTGTCGGTGGTTACTGAGTGTTAAGAAGAACTACCGTAACGTAACCTATCACAATTGGAGGCATGCGTTCAACGTGGCCCAGATGATGTTTTCGATATTAACCGTGAGTTTGAATTAGCTTAAGTACCATATGTATTCACAGACGCGAGTTAATCAGGAGAAAATTTTTTACATTCACTGATCATTCTTTGTCTTTGTTCTTTATGACGGATTGTGGGAGAGAGACAACGCTCTATTAAGTCGTATCTGTGATTAAAAAACCAAGTTTATTCCATTAAACACGTGACGTCTAAAGAAATGTTTAAAGTTTTAATGGAATGTATTTATGACGCAGTACAAACTGAATGCGTTAGTAATTGCGGAACTTAGGTACTTACTTATTACAATTTCAGGTCTAGTAATACTTAACAAACAAAAATTATCTTTTTATATATTCAAGAAATAACAAAAACACGAAAAAAGTACATGACAAAAAGGTGCACTTTAAAAAACATTTCACATATAATTTATATTTAAATACACAGCAATTTAAAACGCGAAATGTATAGTAAAACTTTATAAATAATTTTACGGTCTAATATTTAATTAAAACATTTTGCGTTTTTAACCGTTCAAAATGCGTAAAGACAGCAGTTAGATTATGTATTAAAACAAGTTGAGAATACTTCCTCATAAATTTCTCTTTCGTTATGTATGCTAAAAAGATATTTATCTCCTTCCAGGAAACTCAGTGGTGGAAGATATTTGGTGAGCTGGAGTGTTTAGCGCTGATCATCGGTTGTCTGTGTCATGATCTCGACCATCGGGGAACGAACAACTCCTTCCAAATCAAGTAATACTCTTTAAGAGATAACACTATATTTTCGTATATTACCTTGCAAATATAAGATTATATATATAAAAAAACGCTGAAAATGAACGCATTTTGTTTAGCTTTGTTCCTTAAATGTCTTCCATAAAGATAATTTAATATTCAGTATAAAAAATTAATAAATTTTTCGGTTTATGGTAAAAAGCTCTTAAATGAGAATAAAAGGAGCAAAGAGATTTTAGCACTAAAGAAATGGAAATTATTAAATTTAAGAAATAAATATTACATGCATAATATTTATGTTTCTCCCTCCCCTCTATATAATTATTCCTATGTTCTTTTATTGCTGTCATCTTTTTTTTAACTATAATAATAATTTCCAGGGCATCATCCCCACTCGCACAATTGTATTCGACGTCCACGATGGAGCATCACCACTTCGACCAGTGCCTGATGATCCTCAACTCCCCCGGGAACCAAATCTTGGCGAATCTCTCCTCGGAGGATTACGAGAAGGTGGTCAAAGTGCTGGAGGATGCAATACTGTCTACTGATTTGGCTGTGTATTTTAGGTGTGTTTCCAATCTTTACTATGTTAAATATAAAATGGTTACAAGGCAAAATTATCTCTGCAAGATGGTTTTCCTGGTCAATAGCTGTCTAGCTGTATAACAAACATGCGAAGTCCTCGGTTCGAATTACTTTTAATGTGTCAGTCTGGTAGGGTACAGAAATCTGATGAACTATAATCATTTTTTAATGATAAATGAGGACAGATAACTATGGAGTTCACATGATGGTAGGTGAAATATAGCCATATAACATATAAGATCGACAAGAACCGCTGTCTACTTATTTTGGGCTTTGGTTATTTTGAATAAGCTTGTAAATATAATCATTTACTTTAGAAGAAAATGTGTTTCCCTATCCTTATTTCCCAAAAGAAATACGATTTCACTCCAAGAGCACTGGCATTATTCCAAGTTAAGTGTTTTGTTAATCTTTTTTAATTGTATTTATCTTTATTGTAGTAAACGAAAAGGCTTCATCGAGCTAGTGAGTAAAGATAGAACGGTCACGCCCATTTGGGGCGAGTGTGAAGAGAGGCGTGGTCTGCTAAGAGCAATGCTGATGACGGCGTGCGATCTCGCAGCGATCACGAAACCCTGGCCAGTGGAACGGCGAGTGGCCGCTCTGGTCGCCGGCGAGTTCTTCCGCCAGGGCGACTTGGAGAGACAGAACCTCAACTTAACGCCTATAGTGAGTATTTCGAGATTCTATTGATCTTTTGACTAGAACTCAGAACAGTAAAACGTTGGATTCAAGTAGCAACCGACTATTAGTATTGGAAATCTTATCTACAGAGCCTACGAACGGCTGAAACTATATCTATACTTGTAATATCGAGAGCAAGATGCTAAAAATTGCGAGCAAGAGTTATTTATAATGATTACCGAGTTGTATACAAGTACAACACTTAAGGCGATAGATTTCGATGGAAACGGTTTAAAACGCGAAATATTAAAAAAATATATATTTTGAGGATATTTCAGAAAGTTTATTACTAACTTGTGTTAGAACAGCTTCGCTCCATCCCGTATTATCTACATTGAAAGATTGACATTTAGTTTATAATTATATCGATTAACGTTGGTCAGCTAAATGTGTGTGAGAGACTGTGTATTATGTGTATGCATGAATGATACTAAAATATCGAAATATACTACCTAACTTATGATGAGTTGGTTTTTCTAATGTCAATGTCAAATCTACTACACTAACTCCATCTGTTTTTTCATAGAAGAAAAAAATGAAATAAAAAGTTGTTCACAATAAAAATTTTCCAATTTCTTTAAACTGTATTTGTCCTTTCAGGATATAATGAATAGAGATAAGGAGGACCAGCTGCCTGCCATGCAGGTCAAGTTTATTGACACAATCTGCTTGCCTATTTATGAGGTAAATATGTTTTGTTTTTATTAAGTATTTTTTAATGAATTTTTCAAGCCTCTCACGTTTAAAATTATATTTTCCAAGGATTGTTTCAATTGTGTGTAAGATAAGCGATCTGAGGATCACTTTGATGATTTTTATGATGTTTAAACGAATTTAACTAACATTTTTCTTTCTATTCTATTCTAATAAGCATTGCATTCCAGGCGTTCGCAGTCCTCCATTCTTCTCTCCAGCCAATGCTGGATCGGGTCAAGAGCAACCGAGCGCATTGGATCGACCTCGCCAACAACGACAAGAGCAACGGCGAGAAGTTCGACTACGGCCTCGAGAAGGAGACCGAGAAGAACGACAAATCCAGCGCCAGCTCTCACGTGGACGACACAGAGAACACGTACGAGGGAGACAGCAGTGGTGCCGTCAGCCTCTCTTCGGAGACCAATTCGAAGTTCGATAACCTCGAGAATCCGGTTGTGGGGCTGGTCAGCAACAACGCCCTGGTCCTGCCGCGGGATCCGACCAAGTTCTGTCATTTGAACGAAATGAACTGAACGCTGTGACGTCCAGGGGGGCATGAATCTTAGGAGAATTGCCCCCTAATAACCTCTATGACCAATTTTAGCTTAATACGAATCTTTTTTAATCTCAAACTATTTTTAGGATATGTCATTTTTGAAGCAGGTTCGAACGCTTTTTAGTGTTGATTTATTTCGTATTTCTCGATTGGTCAGAAGAGGGCGCAGTGCGAGTCGAATTTGTGTGATAGTTTTAGTTGATGATAGCAGACGAGTTGAGGTACACGCGCGAGGCGTGTTTCATCACCTTTTTGTACATCCGTAGATTTTATTAGAGATCATTAGTTTTTAATGTCAAATACTTAATAGCGATCGCCTGGGTTATCTAAAACTTGATTATTATTTTTCATCATTTAATTTTCAGATGAAAATCGTTCGTATACGTGAAACTGCTACGGTTTTAGATAATCGATTCGGCTATCATACTAATGCGTTTCCTATTTTCAACCGGAGGTGTTAAGAAATTTGCAAACAGTGACGTCATCGTTACGTCAGCCGTTGAACGTGGGAAACGGTGCGACAAAAGTAATGAAACCTTACCTCATTCATTCTATTCCTACTACATATAATAACATGAATTATTTTCGTGTGTCTCGCTAGTTTTGGTATCATTTAAGATACTTTTATTTACGTCTAGTATTAGTTTAAGTAGATATCCGCGTTCCGTAATTCATTATGACGTATTATTCAGGGCCTAACACCGTGACTTAGCAAACGTACGACCAATATACCAAAAAGATATAGTAAGCTATTTTACTAAATTCATCGTTTAGCCCTGATACAATCTTTCACTGTTGTGATGCTCTAGTTATAGGTCTGTCTGACTTTGTCCATGTCACGAGTGAATGTATTAGAATGTGGACAATAAAACATACGTTTTAGCACTTGTATATACCAATAATTAAGATGATTAACAATTATTGTGATGAGTACTTACTTTTAGACCGTTTTCTAGCGTCACATTGCGACGGTAGCGAGGCAGTAGTTGCCCGTGTCTTCATTCCACGCGTTGATACCAAATCGTGTCGTCTACTAACCAAAAAGTCAATTATATTGAATTTCTTTGACTTCGTAAACACAGCGATTAGACTTGTGTGAAGGATATGTTTAGATGTAGAGAAATAACATTCTAATTAAATAAGGGAATCACCTCAATTCATTGATATACCACCGTTCTGTCATACTACGGTTATGTAGATCTTGCAATCTCGATAAATTTTCTAATTGGGTGCTTGGGATTTTATTATTTTTTATGTTGCTTGATTGAAAGCAAGCTACATACCATTTTTTTGACGAAATACTTAAAGATTCAACGTAGTGCCCAATTTCGGTGTTAAACTAGATTTCATTCAACTCATACGACATAGAATTTTGTTCACAGAATAGAACTTTGTTTCAACAGCTTTCGATCCGAACTGTAATTATTGTTACGCCAATTTTTACCAATAAAGCAAAAAAAAACATATTTTTTTGTAAAAACTGAATTTTTTGCTGAAAAACATTGTATAACAAGAGTTACAGTAAAACAAATTTTACGTTGTGTGAATTGTTCAACTACCTTTGATTTTTGAGTATTTCTCAAATGATATATTATATGATCCTATTTTATGAAACATTTTTGTCGCGAGATAAAAACGTTGTTTAATGTTTGATTTATGATTTACGAAGAGCACCTACATTACAAAAATTTGACACTTCGACCAAAATTATGTAAGTACTTACTTGCAAAACAATCGCTTGAATTTTTAATCTCAGTCCGATCAATTTTAAGATTGTATATCAACGTTATCCGTCGCTCAATACTAAATAGTTATACGACCAATTCATAAAGATTATAGAAAAAAAAGTATTTTTAAATTGGAATAATTCTCTCTATAATCATTAGATATTTACATTAAAAAATCTCAAATTATTGTGGTAATCAACTATGTACAACGTTATCGTTAAGATTGCTGTAAGTATTATTAGCGAGTAATTAGAGAAATAATAATTGTAATGCATATGACGAGTATGGTGTGTGATTAATATGGAGGTTGTTTTGTTCCAAACAAAATGTTATTTATTTATGAATAAACAAATTTTGAAATAATTCTGTATCCTTATTTAATGCGTACGCCCATATAGAAATGATAAAATCTACAATTTCAACTTACTATTTTCTGCTTCCATGCTAGTCGGGTCACTGTATAGATCAGCAGACCATATATTTTTGTCAGGTGTAATGGTAGCAATGGACGGTGGCTAATAATCAACGGGTCGTCGGTTCGATTTCCACCGGGTCCAGCATTTTTCTTATTTGCTTAAAAACATGTTGGGTATTCTCTGAAAATCTGGATATTAAATTGGTGGCAGGAACATTGAAATTCGTCCGGATCACGAACCATCGTCCATAGATAAAAAACCGTGAAGTGTAATCCCTATTCGATTTTAATCTGTGGATGAAAATAGGTCGATAGAGCATCTTCTATAGTTATGATATTGCTGAGGTATAACACCTTTTAGTGCCTGTGTGTCCTCTATCATAAAAAATATACATATACTTTTTTTGTTCTACTCTTCTTAATTCTTGACAACTACGTCACAACATATTTCGTTTTGTAGGCTTTTACTTAGGTTTTTGAAACGTGTACATACCTAATTAGCGTTCAAGATGCCGTTAATGGATATAAATAACCCAGCGATAATAATATTTCTCATAGAAAACTATGAGAAGGAAAATCGACTGCGCCTCAACTGGATCAACAAGCACCGAGCCAAAATCCAGCAAGCTGCAACTCTAGCTCGGGAGCCCACAAACTACTTCGAAACGGATGTAATCGCTCACAATATAATCGGTGGCATGGCTACTATAACCCGTGACCACGTCGTGGCAGGGTACAACCGGCGGAAAGTACCCATCCGCGACGGTACATTTATCCCAGGCGTGAAACATTTACGCCACGGACATTCTATAATCGACGTCGGCCTAGGAGACACGAAAGACGACCCGCGGCTGGTCCGACCCGACACGGACCTCACAAGCGACCCAATCATACGCCCCATAGACCCAGATATTAAAGAAATCATTTATAAATCGAAGCCCGAATTCGGCAGAGAACAGTATTTGGTAAAACGTTCGAAAGTGCGGCCCGAAAATAAGTACTACTTCGCTGAAACTAGTGGTAATGTTTATGGCTGGAGGATGAAAGACAGTGAACTGCACCAAAAGCCACTATTCGGGAGGTGCTGGCATCTCACGAGGGCGCTACGAAGTCGTGTTGGGCCTCAGCCTGATCCACCGCACTATAAATCTTCTGACCCGCCAGGACCTAGCAGTTGCGCAGGAATTTAAAGAGATGGCGCTTATTATAATTTTTAGATTTATATGAATCTTGTATGACTATTACTTTTAATAAACGTTCTTATATCCATTAGAAATGAAAATATTTAATATTAATTATTTTTCAAGTAAATAAAATTTGTGCTTTTTAGTAATTTATAAGTGCAGACACGTTTTATCGATATCGCTGTACTGCGCATGTTTCTGTGGTAGTTGCGTTGCGTTTAGCAAAAGCCAGAATAGAAGAGGGAAGGTTTTAATTTGACGCATGCGTACAGCTCATTTGAGTAAGGGGTTTACCCCATAGCGTGATCTAACATCAGTTGATTTGATCAAAATAGGCCTGCCTATATTAGGCACAGCCCGATAGTTTTATTGTGATGTAGGAAATTTAGGCTTAATTAGACAATTCATAGTCCATTTATTCTTAAAGCAAAGCTTTAATACTGTAGCGAAATTGTTTAGTTAGATCTATTAAAAGTGGTTTTAAAAACCCAAATAGTAATAGTGGTGGTTAAATATGAAAATCTATTGCAATTTGGTGTATAAGGTGAGTTAATTGACTAACTTATTAAACGACGAGTTGTTCCATAAATATTGAATTGATATGCGGGAAGAAATAAAAATATATTTTAATAAAAAAAAAAATTCATCAAATTATATTTTTTTATGAGTATATTAAGTAGGTACTTAGCTATTAGCTAGCTGATTATCAGTGGATAATGTACGACGCATTATTTTTCATTGTTTAACATTGTATCGCTATATTAAAAATATCGATTTTAACTTTAATCTATATATGTAGTTCTTTTTGTCTTTGACCTACAGTACCATGGTTTACTAACCTAGTACGTTCAAATAAGGTTAAAAGGTTAACCTGACGTTGCGATAACGTGTACCTAAAGATACCCTAACGAGGACTGCTTTAAAAAAATCGATATTATGATTTTTGTCAAATTGAAATAATCGATAAAACAAATGATAACCATTCGGTTAACATCTGTTTTATCATGTTATTTAAAATGGTCAGCAGGACGAACGTCCTGCTAACCATTTTAAAAATATTCATTTATTAATTAAATAAAAAATAAAAAAATATACATACATTTTTGAAGTTTAACAATGTTATACAAATTCCCGTTTTTAGTGTTCATTAAACAAAGCAAATATAACAAAACTACTCTACTATTTTTGACATAAAATAGTTACCTTCTGTTATCAATTGTAAATCATGTGTGGATACTAAAAAACGTAATGGCATTACTCTCGCGCTGGCCTGAAAGAAAAAAGTAAAAAATGTCAACAAAATGGCGCGTCTTGGCGGCCAAAAAATATAAATTATATATTTTAAAATAAATGTTTTGCCAGTAACTTTATATTAAAATAAATATGGTGCGTCGCAAAGTGATTTTTAATATCAAGACAAGACAAAAGCTACAGTGAACAGAAAGGTATACTTAAGTATAACAGATTAACATAATCACAATAAAGCAGACTGACTTGATATATATTGCAAATTGATATATTCAAAGCTTGCTTTGTAATATATTGTACAATCGGTATTATAAGATAAAATAAAAAGTATTTTTTTACAAACATATTTTACGTTCCGTTAACAATTTATTCATATTTGTCACATGTTGTTTAAGTCAGGTCCGCATTTTGCGGCAAAAGCCTCCTCCATACGCTTCCACTCCGTTCTGTTCGTAGCGCTTCGTTCCCAGAACATGCCAGCAGTTTCCTTAAACTCATAAAACTCGCCACCTCGTTTCCGTTTTTCGCCTCATGGAGTCCAGCTTGTGCTAACCTGGGACCAACGGTTGTCCTTTACTCATAGCAGGTGCCCAATCCATGCCCACTATAAGAAAAATTAAAAAGTTAAGAATAAAAAAATGGTAAACTTAAGACACACTTCAAGTTAACCTATGTACAACGTATTCCTACGCATTTCAAAGATATTTTATTATATTTATATCCTAAATAGGGTTGCCCACTTTTTAGTAACTTAGATTATCGCTAATACGTCTTGTATATCGTAATACAGCCTGCACTTACCTATTTTATAAATAGTCCTCGAATAATTCAACTAATAGGAAATGAATAATTAGTTAGCACTTTGTCCCACTTAAAAGAAATGGGGGTCTTATCTTTACTATGACGGCCCCCTTAGTATAACGGTAGTTGATTTTCAGCCATACATTATGGCTGAAAATCAAAGGTTTTGCTCCCTATCAACACGTTTCTAATTAATTTTAATTTTTCTGAAACATAAGAATATGTTTCAGAAAATGTTTCTTGGTATGGAAATCTGGATGTTAAATGGGTCGTAAGTATATCGCATTTTCGTCGGGGTCAGGAACCAACATCCAGAAAAAAAAATCGTGGAGTTAAATCTCGTTTTCGTTTCAGTGTAGATTGCCGTATACCCAAAAAGGAAAATAGGTCAATAGCGCTTCTTATGTAATATGGCTAGGGTATTTCATGCTTGTCTGCCCCCCCCCCCCCCCTGTTTTTTTTGTTAAATAAAACAACCGCAGCAATCAGAGACTGCATTGGGTCATAAAAGTATTGCCCCCAATACTTATCGTGCGTTATACCGTTCAAGTTAGCGATCAAAGTCCATGTTTTGTAGCGTTTAAACATTTCTATCTATGCAAATTATGTTTACATAAGAACATAACGCCCCCCTTCGCGATACTGTAGAGTGTAAAACGGTGTAGCTCTAAAAATATTGCTAATACGTTTTTATACTATTTGGACGTGTAGGTAAGTTGATTACCTACGAGGAAACAGCTGCGTCATTCACAAATTTAAACGTTATATTTTATTTGTTCCAGGTTTGCAGCTAGTCCCGGTTTTCTATCAACACGATGTCAAAATGTAAGTACAGTTTATTGATATGTCATTGCTTTTAGCGCGTTTTTTCTGGGTTCGAATCCTGAGAAAAAAATTGACAAGTGTCTCAAGACAATCTGGAACGTTTGAATGGAAGAGAGGAGACTCGAGAATCGGAAATCGAGAACTTTTAAGACCAGAAACTAGACTAGACATACCTAGTCCAAAAAAGGACGGTCTAGGTCTTGCTGGGGCTGTACCGCCACATTGATAGTCAGAGTCACAACTATACTAGTTTCTTTTACTCGTCGTTCATTTCATATTTATTTCTTTTTTATTTCACTGTAATTGTTTTTAAGTGCGAAACATAAATTTATTTTATCTATGTAATGCATAATGTTAATGATGTTTCACGGTTTCATTGACTAAAATAAAACTAAGCAATGTGTTACGAAGACAACTTTTAAATAGTGGTAGTAGTGGTGACTTTAAACGAGTTTCATTTCGTTGCGATAGAAGAGGTCTTGCGAGAAACTCGCTAGGTCAAATTTGATGTAACCACGCCGCAAAGTATCCTACTTTCTACCGCGGTTTTATATGGGACGAGGGTGTCAAGCTCGGATACAACTGGGTCGAATAACAGCTAAGATGTTTCATACATTGTATTGTGGGGGTTGTCTATTTGGAACACAACCATGAGGACGCAATTTTTTTATATGACAGAGGAGCATAGATAAGTATAGCGATATACCATGTAAACGAGATAGAATTCATCAATGAAACTGCCTTTCTGGGCATAACGTTAGTCCAAATTACAATGGGGATCTCATGTCGGAAAAGCGTCGAGCAAACTGATCAGCAGCCTATGCTGTAAAAAAGATCAAACAATTAACAGGCATTAAAACAGCACATCTAGTCTACTTCAGCTACTTCCACAGTGTTATGACGTATTGCATACTACTGTGGAAGATTTTAAATTTATCGATATATAAATTTAACAAAGTTATAAAATTTATATTGTCTCGAAAGGCGTATTATTGTCTGAACGATTTCTTTAATGACAAGACCGCCTGGCAGTAATATGAATTGCTCCTTAGGTTAATAAATTCACAGCAATGTATTAGTTTATAAGACATATTAAAAAAAGTCGGACTGAGGTACTTGGGTGTCCTTCTCTTTTGAACACTGTAGAATCACGACGAACAGACAGACAAACATATTATTTAATATTTTTTTGACGAATCTAAATAATTTTTATAATTTTACACAGAGAATAAAGTTTATTTTATTTTATTTAATCAAGATGCGCTAACCTATTTTATCTTAGTGCATTCGGAGATCCACAGACCGATAACAAGGCGCTGGACCCTGAGGGGATCGTACCCACGACCGGTAGATTATTAACATATTACTACTATTAAACCAACGAGCACGACAAAAAACATTTACTTTATCAGTTTAAAACGCGATGTTTGTAATTCTATTTTTTTAGCTGTTGCAAACATCAGAAACTTCGAGTTTTAAACAGTTAAAAGTGTAAAGTTTAAAATGTTGTCTTCGCGTTAAATAATTAAATATGTCGTGTTTTACTCCTAAAACCATATCTAATTCCGTTACTATCAACGTCGTGATACAGGCGTGTCGCGATGTTTCTGATCACGGTTTTTTTTAATTATTAGAAACAAATTTGATTATGGAAATATTTTTGTGGTTGCCTCTTTTAAGTTGAAGGGAAAGAAGGAGGTCTTTCTGAACACTACATTGTCTAGATCTTGGTGAAATAGTATCATCATACCTTCACATAAATTTTTGGGGCAGCTATGAGCTTATGTGACTAAAATCTGAACTAGTTGTTATATTTGCTTGTGTCACGCAGTTCGTATTGATTTTTCTTGAAAGCGGTCGTGATAGCTGAAGCCAATAGTCATTATTACGAACATATTTTAGGCGTAGGTAATTATGCTTCCTTTATAATACTAAGATATAAGACTTGTAATTAATTACCAATATTTTTATTTGTCTATTATTTTCTTATAAATAGGCCGAGTATCGTCTTTAGCTGTTACATGGCCGGGGTGTTTTACCTCCCATTAAGCCCTGTGTGTCTGTCCTTGTCTATAATGAAAAAAATATGAATTTCTGTTATATATATTAGGGTACGTAGACGACACATTGTTGACTCTCTTTAATGTTAGATTTTTTTCCCGGGATTTCAAAGCCAAGACAACTCGCGCAGATTCCACAATTGGGACACATTCCACTACCACATTTCACGAGGAAGCCGGTTTTTTCGGCTTACCGTCTTAATTTACGCAATAATGTTTTTTGTGCAAACGATTAAGAACACGTCATAAAAACGAATATTTAATAAATATTAGTTTTTGTCAATATTTATTAAATAAGTACCAATATTTACGGACACACGAAATATATTAGCTAAACTTGTTTAGAAATTATTTATACTGCGCGACGTTTCGACTTAAACCCTGTGTTTTATTTAAATGTGTAAAACTCGTGTAAACTACAGACAGTATTTAAATACCAATATTTTACACATAATATACGGTTAAACACATTCGGTGAATCATTATCTGTACCAAGAAGCTGTAGAGATAACCAGTACTTACCTAGCTAAATGTCACATTTAAAAGGGGCTTAATAATTACAAGATGTAAAATGCCACGGCAGTTGCCTCTTAATAACTGCGCTGAGCGATAAGATTGCGAATTAATAAAGGATTTATTACGTGTTTATAAAGGCTTGAGAAGTGCATACATCATTTACGAGGCTTTATTTTTGAACGCCAGTAGCAATTAATGACGTAGATAAAAGATGTCGGCGACGAGTTTTTTTTTTATTCTAGTCAAACTTACTATTGGTTAGTTATTATGTTGGTATATTTTTTTATTATTTTTGTACTGTATAAATGTATTTTAACAAGTTCTTAATATTTAATTCTGTTTTAATATACGTGTTGAGAAAACCACTACTAGAAGACATATTTTTAAACGACAAAGCATTGGATTCACTCGATATTCTTACCACTCATTGTCCAGACTTTCCAAATAAAATATAGCACGGTAGACTATAAACCCAAGTCCAAGCGGACTTGGGTTGAGCACCAGATGCCCTAGGTCGAATCCCGGGGAAACACTAGGTTGTTTCCTTTGGACAGTGGACCGTAGTCTGATCAACTTCTTCCTTGTGCATAAAATCGATCAGTGAAACTGGCACACAAATGATTTCACACACCATGCATTGCTGCCATTAAACAAGAACTAATCATTATTTCATCATGAACAATAAGTTTCTCACAAAAATAAAAAGACTGAAATAAATCTTCAATTACAGCTAGGCAATTATTTTTGAATCGGCCTCATAACGGTCGTTGACTGCTATTAAGATTAACATTCGCAATTAAGCGCTACATTTTATAGTCTACATCATAAAAGCACGAGGAAATGACAGTCGAGATCGTCTGAAGAGATTGGTGGAGTGTGGTCAATGTACTTCAATTATACCGCAGTCGGTCAACGAGATCTGTGCACCGGGTTTGTGGGTCAGAAAGACCGGATTCGACCAAGGCACCCACATTGTGAGTAAGTAGTGCAGACTTAGAATGGCTGCAAGAGATGACACTGCCAGTGTAAGGTCATTGTCGAAGTTGAAAGGACGCAAGAATAGTAATACTCTCCCGTGACCAATTCACAAACGGGAATGTGGACAAGGCACATCGCATTTACTGCTACAAGGATATTGGAGAAATACTAATTGTTTAAGAAACCTATTATTATTTTCTATGGAGGTTAAGAATTGGCCTTTCCAGAGGGCAATTATTCAACCAATTACTATTACTTTTAAGTCTATATTATTTTTGTAAAAGTTGGCATTAAGGAATAAGCAGTAAATTTATCCATAAATAAATCCAAAAGTGGCCAACTGTCAAGTCATCAAAATTTCAAAGTAGGCAGATAGTCATCTCATTTTGGCTTATTCAATGATAAAAAGTTCAACGACCGCAAATTTTTCTGCCTAGGCAATTCAAACATGGGTGAACAGCCTAAAAGATTACGGTTTTAGCGAAACTAGTTTTCAACGAGATTCTCACCAAAAATAGTTGGAGTTCTGTAAATTACTTCTTGAACCGGAAACTTCTATAGTTTTGGCCACTTCAAGAATTCTTAGCTCCGAAACGCGTAAAAGTTCGTCGAACTCAAGATGATACTGGCTTCGTAAATATGATTCGATAGATAAATAACTGTAAAGATATTTTTTATCAACACCATTCGGCGGGTCATGCGTTTGATTAGTTTCTCGTCAAAGAGATAGAAAATAAAAGAGCTCACCTTTTCAGTGGTTTTACAACAATAATTTCTCGTCCACTTAAGCAAATTGACTTGGATAATGTACAGTAAATACCGTCTGCAGTATTTTTGATGGAACTGGTTGTAGCTGAAAACGATGTGCTAATGCGAAAGATAAGTGCTAGCATATTAATATGCAAAGTGATAAACTGTTTGAAAACACGTGGAGATCGCTGTGTGCGAGTTTTTGTTCAATTATCGCATAAGTGGGTTAAAAGCATCACACAACGACATAACTGCTCATGACACAACTTGAAGCGTGTTCGATACGTTTAGCAGCCTCCACTAGATTGGCAATGATGATAAAAAGCACAGAATAGGTTCAAATAACGTTGCAATTTCTATCGAATAATTTTGCTAGAGAAATAGAAAATGTAATAATGGTGGCATTTATATACTTGTACTAATGGCTTATGCTATAGAGTTATTAAGAAATGCTAAATTGGATTAGCATTTAATAGTCGTAGAGGTAGAGAATGACAAAATCAGTGTACTTTAAAAAAACAATATAATCTTGTGTCAACGTGGTACTTCTACTTGAAAGGAATTATTTGTCATATGTAACATAGCTAATTGTATTAAGACGGTTAGCGAAATCAAATCTCATTGCGTGTTTATTTTTAAATTTGTTTTTAATCATTTTCTTGATCTTACAGATCCTTCTATTTATATATAACGTACAATCTCTACGTAAAGTTTTATTGCAAGGTTTTGAGGAAGAGATTTTTATCAGTCGAAATTCGAGACAAATTTTCTTCTCTCTAAGTAGCTTCTCAAGTTGATCTCCTACGCATAATCTATGGTCCCCAGTAAATAGATACGCTTAGCTCCATCTGCTGTAGTTCCGTTATTTGACACACTAACCGCGAACGGAAAATTAATAGGTATATACCATACTATACAATCGTTTAAGGCGAAAAAGACTATCGGGCTTAATTAACACCGCGATCATATAAGTATTGCCTGTAACTTACGCGAGTAGTACACATTTAAGTGTAACACTTTGAACGGTTTAAGACGACAAATAACCACGGCTACTGCTAAGGATCGAAAAACGTTGGGCCGTAGTTCTAATTAATTTTAAATAATTATAACGGTAGTAATACTGGTACGTATGATTTTAGAGACTTCTCCTAAAAGTGTTAGCATTTAATAGAATGGGTAAAAGTGGTAGCATTTAATAGAATGGGTAAAAATGTTAAACGTGCGTCAGGAGTCAGGATCCCTGATAGAAATTTTGTAATACATAGCGAGAGTACTTAAATAATGATAAAAGCAGTTCGTACAAAATAATTAGCAAAAGTTCCTCCAAGTTTTCACTACCGCCGGCACTACCAGAGGTGTAGCCCGTATTTTTTTAAATTATTCTGTACAGTTGTCATTAAACGTAATAGTTTTATAAGTGTTTCGAGCCCCTGCTGTACACCGGGCGGCCAATTCACCGTAACGTGTAATAATGTTGAGTAAGTACTGTAATTGTTATACAAAGCGTTATACACATCCCGAAGTGGGGCAGATTCGCGGTACATTCGCTCAACAGAGCTTTAAGCTCTCGACCGGTTCGGCCATTGACCCGACAACCTACTGCTTCGAGTATTGCTATTCTGTTGAAATAATTAATTTCAGCTATAAATCTGATATTATCTTCCATCTCTTTGTCTCTAACGTTGCATAAATCAGCTGTGGCTAAAATTCGTCTATTATGCTGTCGCGAAGGTTGATAAAATATTGGACGTCGGTAACCGATACTCGTTGTTTTAGAAGGCTTTCTGAGAAAACGAATGAATGAGCTATAAACAATATACATACCTACTGTATAAGGTTACAAGCTACAGCGCCTAGGTAGGTAATGTGCCCGCTTTGGTACTTTATTACATTCCGGATTTTATTGTTATGATACGAGAAAATTCAAAGACATAATTCAGCGACAGATATTTGTCTTGGGTTTAGTATTGCGTACCAAATAAGTAAACGTTGATTCGTGACCTGTAAATAATGAATGAACACTAAAACTTTGAACTTATGATATACATATTTCAGACGTCCACATCTGGGAGAGGAATGCAATATAGTCTAACTTATTTACTTAATTAAATCTTTATAATTTTCAATGCTTATATAAAAGATAGGTAGTACGTTGTTATCTGTAAGCCCTTTTCTTAGCAAATTTACCATATTAAATATTTTACGAAATCTTAGGTGTCCAGAACTAGTAAAAGAAAGCACAGGAAGCAGCTAGAGGAGGCCTAGCTAGTCCCCACAAGGAGGTGTACAGTCATTGATCGTATATTTAAAGCGTATTTTTTACATAGATTAAAACATAGTTATATTATTACACAGTTGATGCAAGGTACTGTTACCAGTGATTCGTTTGTCAATGAATAATTTCACCAAAAAAGTATTTAAAAATCCAGCAGAAGTATGATAATTATAATTTATTATTAAGTTGCACCAACGCGAAATCCAAAACAAAGCGTAAATAGCAAGTGTCAACAGCGATCAGCTCAAATTAGCCATAGTGTTTATTCTGCACATGTGCGCTTGTAATTACAGTCGGGCCGTTATTAGAATTAAACCGCCTGGGTCCTTATTCTCAACTGAGTGACAAGATTTGTGACGAATAGGTTCTGTCACTGAACAAACAAATGAAGTCTCAGGCTTCAAATTGTACGCATAATAATTTTGTCTACACACATGCCTATAAATAAAATTGATCAGTTCTCACTGATCAATTTTATTTATATACAGGATGCTTGTCCTATAACTCCTGTACGGTATTCAGATGTAAATGAAACACTTCTAATGATTTAAAACGCGAAATATATTTAACTTATATAATATTTACAAATTATTTAAACTACGACCTGACGTTTCGGCGAGTTCGCAGCAGCCGTGGTTACGGGCTGTAGTTAAAATAAATTAACTAATATATTTCGCGTTTTAAACCGTTAAAATGGCTTTATTGAAATTAAACAATATATTGTTTCGGACAGACAGGCCATTGAAGTCTGACCACTTATCTGTAAAAGAACCGATCCGTGAAAATATTACAGAAATGTATTCGTCCCATTTTATATGACTAGGTTGCCACATAGAACCTGGTTCCGATTAGACGATTTATCTCATATATAGTTTTTTAATGTGTACACTCGCGTAAACTACAGATCTAAATGTTTAGCTGAAAATACCCTCCTCAGCGCGTTTCGAATTCGCGTAACTTGCTCGCTAGAAGCCGCGTTCCCCCCGCGTCAGCCGCAAAGGCAGGTTCAAGGCCAGTCCGTTTCCCATGTTGCAACTGCAACTTACATGTGCATGCCTATTAATTCACCGCACAAACGCTCGCCATTGTCTATCATTCGCGCGGGGTCAACGACCTCATAAAGGATTAATGGCGTTATTGTTAGACTTCTTGTTTTTTAGGGTTCCACGCCGAAATGGATCCACCCAAAACTTCAATCTCTGCGTCTGTGCATACTGTTTAAATGTAGGTGACATAGTAAAACATGTATTTCTGTTTACAATGTGATTTTGGTGTTTAAGAAGTCTTCAAAAATAAAACTAAATTCAGAAATGTGAAAAAACAGTAAAGAAGCTAATGCGAGGATGGACGAAATACTTGCTAAGAGAAACAAAAGAAAAATGGAGTGAATTGATTACTTAATGTTATCCAGATGATAGAGAAGGAACAAGGGAGGGGTAAATTAAAATATGCGACGATGATTTAAGATGAGATGAGAAGTGGGTCCACAATGCCTTAAAAACGAAGGAATAGATATCAGTATAATCTTTAAAGGGGGTTCGGGCCTAATGTCAAAAGGCAAATCTTTATTGTTTAAGATTTAAGAATACAACTTATATATAATGATAAGTCTTATTTTATCATACCACACTACGGAACCTTTTGTGTGTGAGTCAACTCGCGCTTGGCCGAATTTAACTGGCGTTCGAAGTTTGAACAATAGGCGAAAGGAACTCAGACTCGGAACCAAACTTCCAAGAAGCTGGAATGGGACAGTTTTTCAATGTCCTGCGCTGTCTTTGTCTTTGGCATATTTGGCGGTCGTAGACGGTGCTATCGGAGGAATCTATCCCTGGGATATTCAGCAGATAGGATTTTTTGCTTTGCTTCATTTTTTATATACACTTCGGATAAAATATTATTCTTTAGCTGAGTTTGGTATATGTCTTTATTTCTGTGATTATTTAGTATAGGTATTGTCCGTTCCCAACTTTTTAATCGTTTTATTAAATCAACAGAAACACTCGTTCTATGCATTATTATTGTAGCTAGAAAAATATAGATTTTTACTGTTACGGTTTTAGCGAATTTGTAACAGTAAACAGGAAACCGTTGTATCTGTTGCTGAGTGCAGATATTTGACAAAGTATAAATTATTTATAAAAAACTTTAACCTATTTTTATTTATGCCTTTTATTATTAAACTAGCGACCCGCCCCGGATCCGCTCAGGTGCAATGCTGAAACCATTTTCTTAAATCACTCTTTCAAAAAAACCGAATCAAATTTCGTTGCGTAGTTTTAAAAATTTAAGCGTACATAAGGACAGAAAAAGCGACGTTTTTATGCTACGTAGTGAAGAGTGCAATATTATTGTATATCACAAGTTACGTAATTAAAAATCAGATAATTAGAGAATCATCACCAAGAAGAATCAATCATATTGATTAAAATTACGTGTCTATGAGCGCAAGTAATTTTAAAAGCTTTTGACCAACGAATCAAGATAATTAATCACCAATGCAATTTCGATTAGAATGCAATTAGTCACATGTGACAGTAATGGAACATGTGATTTGTTTTCACGATACGTCATCGCTGCCGCATGACTTCGCTCGGCCGATAAACAGCTCCCACACTCAATTCAATTACTACATTTTTGGTAACATACCCATCCAGTTGTTTTTACGCGAAATTGAATTATTCTTACTATTGTATACCAATATGACATTTATGTGGCTTACGCGACTAACAAATAAAATAAAAGATTTTCAAGCCGTCACGAGAGGCTTCGGATGTTGCAGTGTCTGAAACGTCGGCTCTTAGTTAAATAACTATAAAAGCGCCTTTTAAAACCGTTTAATCGTCTTATTTAAATGTAATTAAGTCA